GAAATGGAGATCTTTTTTAAAGGTTAAAACTTCATTTAATTTTATGTCTTATAGGGTTTATACTGAATACAATATTGTATAACTGTATTAATTCAACTGTAAACCTATAAATTTATAGCCAATTTTGAAAGAGATGCATCTTAGCTCTGGAAATTGTTCTTGAATATGTCACTGCTGTTGTAATGAAATGCTTCTAATTATGTGGTTATTAAATAAATAACTTTTTTAAACACCATATTTAAAAAAACAAAAGAAAAGAAATTTCTGAAATACAATTCACTTCCTAACTTTGAGGAGGACTGTAACGTACAGGTAAATAAAAGACCAATAAAAAGACAAAAAAAAAAAACAACAATTACCAAAAGACAAACCCATATACAAATACCACATAAGATATCAAAGGTAGTAAGCCTTCTGGAACTCAGCAGGAAAGGCCTAAGAAGTCTTAAAGATACAACTAGGTCCTATGAAACCCATACCACGTAGCCTTGACTAGAGGTTTAATCTCAGTAACAAACAGTTCCCTGTGTATTTATCCTAATTTTTACAAATTCCTAACCAGATAAAACGTGAAAGACACTTTGCACAGCTTATTCATTTTCCCAGTAAATTCATTCTTCAGAGAGAGTTGCTCTTCCACATTTCCCTTGTTAGTCCTATCACTGGGTGGATTCCTTCAGTGTAAGATATTTGTGTTTGAGTAACTGTTTTACCTGGAATCAAAGTGCCTGGCATTAAACAATTGCCAGAAATATAGAATATGTTAGATTTAGAAGAGCAGAAAAACGAAGGAGTTTAAAGTTTAGAAATAAGAGTCAGAGCCAGACCTGCAACAGGCAGTTCCCTTGATTCAGGAAACCCCCCAAAAGCTGATAGCTCTTCCTCAAGAAATGATTATCTGCAACCTGAAGGGGGAGCAATCTGATCTTATATAGGACTTCTGCTACACACAGTTACAAGAGTTAACTCTGTGCCAGGGTCTGGTGTCCTTGAGGGGCTCTTTTCCCAAGATTATTTGCTCAGGCACACGGTTGAATTATCTATAGCACTAGAGGAGACAGGTGGGCTGCACTGTCTCTCTCAATCCAGGAAGTGATCAATTGGTCAGGCTTGAGCAAGTCCAGGCTGCCAATTTAGGGTCAATTAGACACTTTAAGGGATTTGTGGCTTTCCCTAATGAGGCTTGTGGCTCTTTTGCATGCAATTCACATATTAGATCAGAATACATGAGTCACCTACCTGCCTTACCACCAGCAATACTGACATCATCCATTCTCAAACAGAAACACATGTAAGCATCATCCTAAGGGGCGGATTCTGATTTGATAACTCTGAAGTGAGCCAGACAGCATGCATTTTCTAAAATCCAGGCAAATGCTGCCCAAGAAACAGGTCCGTGTAGTACAGTTTGCGGATCAAGTTCAGAAGTGCCACGGTTCTAGAACTTAGCTGAATATGAGAATAATCTGGGACTCTAGGAAAGGTACTAATGATGTCTAGATTCCACCCCAGGGATTCTGACTTAACTCACTTAAGTGCTCCCAGCTTTAAGTCCCTGGGATTTACAGTTAACAGGGCTTTACTTATGCAAAGAACATCGTCGGAGCTCAACCTGGCACGCCCCCGCCCTTGCTCAGGCACGCCCCTCAAACGAGATCCGGCCCACCAGGCGATGTCCCGCCCCCTCCGCGTCCATTTGCTGCTCTCCTTTCCTCGCTGCCTCTACTTCCGCCTCTGCAGGTTCAACTTCCGGCGCAGAGTCGGTCACGTGCCCAAATACGGGAAGTGGGGGTTTGTGCAGCTTTCTGTCAGCGGTCAGTGAGGGGTACGTCGCAGCGGTGCCCTTCCCGCGTCGGTCTCCAAGGACCCGCCTCGCTGGCCCGATCCGGCCTCGCGGTAAGCTTCCGGCCGGGCGTCCAGGCGGTGGCTGAGTGGAGGCGGCGCTCCGGCACGTCCAGGTGCTCACTCCTGTGGCCCGGCCGCCAGGGATGCTGAGCCCGGGCCGCACCCTTCCCCCTGGCGGTCCGGAGAGAAGGCGGAGCGGGGCAGCAGCCCTTCCGAACCCCCACGGTTCCGCCCATCTGTGTCTGATTGCTTTGTAGCTCTGAAGGGACACTGGAGTGGGAGAGGAGGGCGTGACTGCCTCCCTCGGTTCACGCCTACGTGCCCTGAATGTTAGTGCGTTTCCCTGACCAGAGCAGTTTTCTGTTCCGGATGACAGCGATCCGTGGTAAGAGGTCTCAACAGTAGGTGGCCCAGCCCAAGCAGGCCCAAGCGTGATGCCAGCCCACCTGAGTTCAAGGAAACAAGACCCAAGACCGGTGCCAAAGTGGTTCGCTGCTCCTGGAAGAGGGGCGGGAATGGGGTTTCAGAAGAGGAAAGATTTATACGATCTGAAGAGAAGCCAGAGTATGGGCTTGGGATTTTAAACTGGGAAAAAGAGCCATGAAAGCCGCTGTTGATTTACCTCCTGACATATAGGAAAGTCCCGTAACCACTGAAGAGCTCATTTCTAGACCCATAGGATGTAAATGTCAGGGACGCCCGTCTTCAGGTCTTCCCACACATATCTGACATCCTCCGCCATTACCCTCGGGGTAATAGTGCACTGCCTGGCTTTGTAGATGTCAATATTTGACGAATAGATGATCACGTAGGACTTTTTATTATGCCTAAGTCGTCTTGGGTTATGACCAACCCTCTCTTGTTTTACCATTTACCATGCACTCAGTAGTTTTAACCAGAGGGACTTATGGTAAACGTTGGCAACTATTAACGATTCTTTTGACCAGTTTTTACTGTTAACAGTTCAGGTTATGTCAAGAGGTATTTAAGTACCTAAGACACAATACTTATGAATGCCTCCCTCCACCTCTAAAAGATGGCTGTGAAGATACAGGAGGTTATGATGCGTGTGCACCAATTAGACAGCAAGTGCTTGATTGTTGAGTAAATGCAGTGAGTGCTATAGAAATTTAGAGGCAAGATCAATTTAGATTAAGATCTTAGTTGTGTCAACTTCATGTAAACCTTGAGATGTTAAGCCTTGGATAGGGAGAAGATATTTTTTGCATGGAAAAGTGTGCAAGCAAATATTTCAAGGGAAAAATGAACAGCATGCTTTCAGTGAAAAGCTTGTATTTGAAAACTTTAGGCTAATGTTCAGTAGAGCTGTGGCGTGATGAGAACTGTTTTAAGAACATGTGTTTGTTTTTAAGGGTTGTTAAAGCCAGAAAAGAGATAATAGATACTCTCACATAGAGTTGAGTCGCAGTTAGTGTGTTGGCAGTGAAACATAGGAAGAAGAGATCATATGTAGGTGGAGCAATCACAAAATGCTGTCAAATCTCATGTTGACAATGAAGGAGGTGATAAATCATGACAGATTTTGAATCTGGGCTTTTGCATGTAGATGTGAAAGTTGGAAAGGGGCACTCTTGAGGGAGCTGTGGTGCTGCAATAGTAGTTTGCTTAAATGTCCACTAAGCACCTGTTGTGTGCCTTTTGTCAAGTTCCAGGAAGATGAAGATGAAGATGACAGAGTCCTTGCCAACAAAGAACCACTTTTACTAGGGGAGAGAGTGCATCTAGCTAGCGCATAGAATTTGTAGAACTATTACCAGAGTAGAGGGGAAATGTAGAAAAAGAATTACTTGAGGAGAAAAGGTTTTTTCACAAATTTTATCAGAATCTTTAGGGATGAGTTGGAATTAGGTATGAAGAAAAGAATTTTAGGAAAAGGAAATTACATGAACCAAAGCCCAGAGACAGAACAGTAAACTGGACACTATCTAGTGTGGTTTGAGGCTGGAATGGAATAGAGGTTTGACATCATGTCCAGGCTTGAACTTGTTGAGGAATTAGTAACACGGACACTCTGAAGGAATGGAGTTTAGGATAGGTGAGTGTGCAGAGGTGGATCAGAAAGCACTGGGAAGAACTGTACTTCCTGGCTTCCACTGTGGGATAGGGATGCCCTTTCTAGAGAGGCAGGAAGCTGACACTAAAGATGTGGACAGAAGGAGAGTAACAAGAGACCAGGAAAGGAGTCATCAAAGAAAGTGGAAAGAGCTGCTGAGCAGCATTGAAATCCTAGCTTGAATTAGGATGAGACATTTGTAAGGAATGCACTGAACATGGATGAGCTTTTCTAATTGTCTTGTAGCCTAGGAGAGATAAAGAAAAAGAAAAAAAACAGCTTATGGAGATTGATGAGCTATGATAATAACAGAGTGGTGAAATAAAGGGGACAGGGAAATGGGTATTGCCTCCAGGCTAGACTGGGAAGGAAGTTAAGCTTCCAGCGTCCAAACAGACTAAGAACAGGAAGGAAGGCAAAGTCAGAAGGCTTGGGCTGCATGAGAAAGGGTTAGAAGTGGGAAGGTGTGGGTTTCATGAGAAGCAAGTTTGGGAATTGGAGTAGAGATAGCCATTTCATAGAGTTAGTAAAATGTAGAAGAGACCTAGTTTGTAGAAATGCCATTGTTCTGTAAAAATGCATTGTACTTCATTAATTAAAACCTGTTTTTATAATGGCTTGAGATAGAATTCACTTATAAAACCTCTCCTTTTCACATGTATCTTCGTTTAGCATATTTACAAGTGTGTGCAATATCACACTAATTGAAGAACATTTTCATCACCCCAGAAAGAAACTACCCATTAGCAGTCACTTTTCCATTCTTCATTTTTTCCATTTTGAGCATTTAGTGTAAATGGAATCGTGACATGTGATCTTTCTTATCAGTATCATAGCCTGTATCAGTACTTCATCCCTTTTATTTTTCACAGCTAAACAGTATTCCACTGTCTAGATTTGTCACATTTTACTGTTGTCTGTTATTGAGCATTTGGGTTGTTCCTACTTTTTGGCTACTGCAAACATAGTCGCCTGTCTGTAGGTTCCAAATCCATGCATCCAACCAGACACAAACTGAAAATATTTGGAGAAAAATTGGTTCTATACTGACCATGTGACTACCTTTTCTTTGATATTATTCTCAAGCAATACAGAATAGCAACTATATAGCATTTACATTGCATTTGGTATTATAAGTAATTTAGAGATGCTACTAATATGATTTTTTTTTTAATATAAGGGGCTTGAACATCTGTGAATTTTGGTATCTACGGGGGTCCTGGAACTGGTATACCCCATAGATACTGAGAGACGGCTGTCATGCTCCTGTGAATATTCACATGCAAGTTTTTCTGTGGAAATCTCTTTTGGAAGTAGTATTGGTGAATCATATGGTAATTACATGTATGTTTAGTGCACCTGTGTCGTGCAGTGTCGCAGAGGTCAGAAGAGGGCTTCAGTATCCCCTGGAACTAGAGTTAAGGACCATTCATAGCCACCATGTGGGTGCTGGGAATTGAACCTGGGTCCTCTACAAGAGCAGTCAGTGCTCTTAACCGCTGAGCCATCTCTCCAGTCCCACATGTTTAACTTTTCTAGGAAACTGTCATATACTTTTTTGAAGCAACTGTACCTTTTTGTGGTCCCAGCAGCAATGTGTGAAAGTTTTCTTTTCTTACATCTTTATCCACACTTGCTACTGCATGTCTTTCAGTTTTCTGGTGTGTGTGTGTGTGTGTGTGTATGCATGCCTGTGAAAGCCAGAGGACAACTTTGGGTGTCATTCCTTGGGCATCGTCCACCTATCTCCACCTTCCTCATTGCTGGTATTACAAGCATGCGTACTGTGTGCTGCTTGTTTGACATGGGTTCTAGAGGTGGAACTTGGGTCCTTGTGCTTGCAAGGCAAGCAGTTTGTTGACAGAGTTAGCTGCCAGCCCAGTGCTGAGCTTTCTTTTTTGTCTATGGCTGTTTGTGTAGCTGCTTTAGAGTAAGATCTATTCTGATCTTTTATTCGGGGTTCATTTGTCTTTTTCTTGTTGAATTGTGTCCTTTATATAGGAAACTGAACTTAAAACTTGAGCATGGATTTTAATTTGTTTTACACTTTTAAATTTCTGTGTGTGTGTGTGTGTGTGTGTGTGAGAGAGAGAGAGAGAGAGAGAGAGTACTTGTTGAATACTATACTTGGAAAGGTTTTGAATTTAATACTAGTCTCTTTAATTTCATTTCCAAATTCGTAGCCTTCTATTTTAATGATGTAAGTATATTAATGTCTTAATTTTCCTCTGTATATGTATTAATGTATATGTATAATAATTTTCCTCTGTATATGTATGTATTTTGATAGTATATGAGGGAGGGCCGTGATTTTGAGAATGAGCCTAATGTCTATATTCTGGACTTTTCAGCTAGGAAAAGATGACAGCAATTAAGCATGCGTTACAGAGAGATATCTTTACACCAAATGATGAACGCCTGCTGAGCATCGTGAATGTCTGCAAAGCCGGCAAAAAGAAAAAGAACTGTTTTCTTTGTGCCACAGGTAGGTATTTATTAAGCAAAAATATTTGTTTGAATTCTTTTATTCCTTAGGGTCATTTCCTCCTTTTAAAAGTCTTATTGGGGCTGGAGAAATGGCTCAGTGGTTAAGAACACTGGTTGTTCTTGCAGAAGACCCAGGTTTGAATCCCAGCACCCACATGGCAGATAACAACTGTCTGTAACTCCAGTTCCAGGGGATCCAACAGCCTCTTCTGACCTCCGCGGGCATTGCACGACACAGGTGCACTTACCTACAAGCAGGCAATACGCGCATACACATAAAATAAAAATAAATAAAAAATATTTTTAAAAAATAGTCTTATTGTCTCTATAATTGGAAAAATTATTGAATCAATAAGTTTTTAAATTGTTTTTATTAAATGTTGAGTGTATGTAACAGAATTTCTGAAACATGCATCTGAGCACAAAGCTTTTCCCGTGTTTTATCAGTCATGCATATGCTTTAAGTCCCTTACCACTTCAAAATGGAAATCTTCATCAAGATATAAATAACTCACTTTCTTGAAGGTATCTTTCCAGTACAAAAGGTTATCATTTCAATGAAGTCCAGTTTATTAGTTTTCTTTTGTCATATGTGCTTTTGGTATCATATATGAAAAACCAATGGCTAATCCAGTGTTGCAAAGACTTCTATGTTTTCTTTCTTTTTTTTCTTTTCACTTCTTGCACTTAGGCTGATGATCTATTTGAGCTTATTTTTTGTATTGTGTAGGATCCTATAGCCAGTTTTCAGGCACCATTTGTTGAAAATTATTAATTTTAATTTTTTTTTATTTTATGAGTGTATTGCTACATGTATGTGAGTGCACCCATGTCATGCAATTCCATGGAGTTCAGAAGAGGGCTTTGGATTCCCCTGGAACTGGAGTTAAGGATGGTTCATAGCTGCCTTGTGGGTGCTAAGAAACTCATTAAACAGTTTCTAAAAATTGATTTCTCATTTCATATGCTCAAATATCTCTTTTAAAGCAGAATTGGAGTTTATTGTTTTTTTTTTTTTTTTTTTTTTTTTTTTTTTTTTTTTTTGTCTTTTTGTGAGACAGGGTCTCCCAATAGCCCCAGCTGTCCTAGAACTCACTATGTAGACCAGGCTGGCCTTGAACTCACAGAATTTTGCCTGCACCACCGCCTGCCTCTGCCTCCCTACAGCTGGGATTAAAAGTGTGCACCAGCCTGGCTCCCCTGAAGACTATTCTTATTCTTCCCTTGATGCTTTCTTAACATGCTACACTATGTGCACATGGCACTCAGTGTATGACTGTTCCCTTACCTGTGAAGTGCCCTGTGCTCTTCCTCACACCACTCCTTTCTGCTTCTTCAAGAGAGATCTGCTGTGCTCAGTTTTAGGTGCTAAAGCGTGCTTTAGCAAATTCTGTTCTAGTTTGTTTCTCCATTGCTATGACATACACTCTGACCAATACTAACTTGGGGAGGAAAGGGTTTATTCAGCTTATATCTCCCAGGTCAGTTCATCAGGGAGCCCAAGGCAGAAACTCAGGACAGGAACCTGGAGGCAGGAGCTGGAGCACAGGCCATGGAGGGACACTGCTTACTGACCTGCTCCTCTGGCTCCTGCTCAGCCTGCTTTCTTATGCAACACAGGCCCACCTGCCCAGGGGTGGCACCACCCACAGTGGGCTGGGCCCTTCCACATCACTCAACAATCAAGAAGATGCCCCACAGACATGGCCACAGGCTGGTCCAATGGAGGCAGTTCCCCAATTGAGGCTCCCTCAACCCACGTGTGTCAAGTTGACACTAAAGCTATCCAGCAGACATTCTCACGTTTGTGCAATCTCACATAATGTTTAATTTACCTGTCTTTGCACTTTAATTTAATTATAGTTCCTTGTGCCCCCATCCCCAGTATTCTGTTCATGAGTGTAACTTTTGTTCTCTCTCTCTCATGGTCACTACTGTGATGTGCTCTATGAGCAGACCATTGTTCCTTGCCATGCTGCCAGGGTGAGCATTAGGTTTATTTCTATGAAGACATTGTGCTTATCTCCTGCTGTCCACATAATTGTTTTGAATACTTGAATGTGGATTATGCTTTAATACAAAATTGTTTTCTAAAATAATTCTCATTTTCACTCTCATGAAAAAGTGTGCTTGGTTTGGGTTCTCTGCACCCTAGTCAGCAATTGCTTCTGACAGACTGTTAATTGTTGCCAGTCTGACTGTAGTGAAATACATCAATGTGGTTTAAAAATGCACTCTCCTAATTAATGATGTGGAGCATCTTTTTGTGAATTTAAGGCCAGCCTGGTCTACATAGTGAGTTCTAGGACAGCTGGGGCTATTGGGAGACCCTGCCTCACAAAAAGACAAAAAAAAAAGAAAGAAAGAATAGTCTTCAGGGGCTGGAGAGATGGCCCAGCAGTTAAGAGCACTGACTGCTCTTGCAGAGGACCTAGTTCGATTCCTAGCACCCACATGGCAGCTATGAACCATCCTTAACTCCAGAGTCATCTTGTTTGTTTGTTTGTTTGTTTGTTTGTTTGTTTATTTTTGGTCTTTCTGAGACAGCATCTCCCTGTAGACCCAGCTGACCTGGAACTCGATATGTTGGCCTTGATCTTACAGAGATCCACCTGCCTCTCCCTTTCAAGTGCTGTGATTAAAAGTATGTGCCACCACACATGGCTTAGAATTATCTTTTTAAATTCCAGATTCCCAGATTTTGTTGAACTTTCGATTGGAATTATTTTGAACCTATGGTTTTGTTTTTACATAACTTGTATTTTTTATGCTACTATGTCCATGAACTTCGTAATGTTTTCCATGCTAAAAATGATATATCACATTGATTTCACACATTTAAATTTTTTTTTTGAGTTTTTGTGCATTTCATATAATAGATCTTAATCAAATTTAGACCCCATCCCCCATCTGAGTCCTCCCCTAGACATCCCCCCCACAATTTCATGCAGTCTTTTGTGTATGTTAAATCCTTTTCTAGTGAAGCATTTGTGCCCAGATGTCCTTCAGTGCATGTTTGTCCACTGGAGTCGTCAGCCTTTTAGAGTCTCTCCCTTCAAGAGCTACTCTTCCTCACCCAGCAGTAATCAGTTGCCAATAGTTCCTAGGTTAAGGTTGGGGCCTGCTTGTTGCATTTCCCTCGTTCTGTGGTGGGTTTTTGGATTTCAGACACTTTTTAATGTGAAAAGGCATATTTAAGATTTGAGAAGTAAAGTGGTGTCTTTTGTAAATACCCAGTGTTTGCTGGTATGCTTCTTGGGTTTAAGATTTTGCATCCATGTTCATTAGTTATATAATTGGAATTTTCTTCTTGCTCTCTGTGGCTTTTTAACCACAGTTATAAAACAAATTGGAGGGTATTCCTTGCTTTCTCACTGGAATAGTTGTGTGTTTGGAGTATTCATTCCTTTCAAATTTGCCAAGAGTTACCAGACAACTGTTAGGCTAGATTGGGAGTATGGGAGGTGATGGCAGATCTTTACTTACCGTAGTAGCTATAAGCTCTCCACAGATTCTGTTGTCCGTTTCAGTATGTTACATTTTTTAGAGAATCAAATGCATCAGTGTTTGTTCCAATCCAAATGCCATTTTGTCTTTGAAACTAGAAGCTAGGGTATGTCATTTTTCTGTTAAGAGCCCTCACTACCTCAAATCTGGAGGGCCTTTAAGTCTGAGCTCATATCTCTTGTAGTAACTTCACTTCCAGCCACCATGTATTACATTGTGCTATCTATGCTGAATTCTGTTGTTCTTAGTGGCATTAGGCTCTTCCAGGCCTCTTTGGTTTCATATGTGTCACTGTTCTTTGGATTTCACCTCCTATTCTTCCTTTAATGCTGGCCTAAAGCTTTACTTCTCCAAGCATCTATCTGCTACAACCCTCTAGTCTGAGTCAGATGCTTCCTTTGGGGTTCTGTGAATCCCTTAGTCTACTTACTACAAAATACTGCTCTTGTTTTAGTGGCATCATACCAGGCACCAGCAAGCCCTGTTACAATGAATGAATGATGAATGACTGAATAGTATTTCTGATGAAAGTATGTGTTTTGTTCAACAGTGACAACCGAACGCCCTGTGCAGGTGAAGGTGGTCAAAGTCAAGAAATCGGACAAGGGAGATTTCTACAAAAGACAGATTGCCTGGGCCCTTCGAGACCTTGCTGTGGTAGATGCTAAAGACGCTGTCAAAGTAATGTTTGCCGTAGTCCTTTGAACTATGTTCAGAAAGTCTTTCATCTTATCACATAATATTATGTAGCCTGAGATGATCTAAAGTTGTTCTGTGACTATTGGCCTGCCACCTGTTAGTCTAAAATATATTAATCTTCTGCCTCCTCACCCCATTAGGCTACTACAAATAACTACATGGGAATGTTTGTTTTATTCTTTCTACCTTGTTAAAACTATAGTTACAGCTGGACGTGGTGGCACATCCCTTTGATCCTAGCACTCAGGAGGTTGAGGCAGGTGGATCTGTGAGACTGAGGCCAGCCTGGTCTACATAGAGAGTTCCAGGACAGCTGGAGCTACAGGGAGACCCTGTCTCAAAAAGAGAAAAAAAATACAATTACATGTGTGCTCAAGCAACATAAACTAGAGCAAAATCAGCTTAATTGTCTATATTTTCTGTATTTAGGTTAAATATACTTAGTGTAAAGATTTAGAGCATAGTATTGATTTTAAAGCATGTGAATTAACTTTTAAAGAACTAATTTTTTTGGTGAAACTAGTTTCAAAAGCATACATAATTTACCCAAAGTGAGCCACTTCCTTACGATTCCTCCTGAGTGACATGGACTCCCCACCTGAGGCAGCCAATCTGAAAGTTTGATGTTCATGGTTCAAATAAAGGGAGTGATAGAGGCTTTCACACCTTATTTTGTGGAGATTAAATAAGGTTTACAAGGGTATATGGAAGTATGAGTTAGCATTTCTTGCTTTCTTATAACCTTTATGCCTTGTACTTAGACTGCGCTCAAATGCTAAGGAAATTGAGTAATAGGATCTTCACATTAAAGGACCACCTTTTTTCCTGGCAGCTCAAGACTTCACAGCAGCACCCAGTTGCAAAGAAATCAATTAGAGCTGACTTGGTTAGACTGGGTGCTTGCCCCAACTCCCCTCCCCTCTAGCTCTGAGCCATCTCTCTCTGCAGCCCAGAGCATCTTCCATACCCCTCTGTAATACTCTGCACCACATCCACTTGGGCTGTAACTGGACTAAGAACAAGGCTTACACTAATGTAGCTTTCAGGTACACTCTGATTTAACTGGAAAAGTCTTGTACATTTACTAAAAAAGTACAAAGAAGTGAAAAATGGCATTGACATTTGTAAAACAATATGGTAAGATAAAATGCGAGGGCATGTATTTGTTGCTCTGTTTCGTTGCTTTGTTTGAAACCGGGTCTCCTGTAGCTCAGGTTGGCCTCAAGCTCACTATCATAGCCCAGGCTGTCCTGAACCAATCTTTATGCTTCTGCCTCCAGAGTATTAAAATCACAAGCATGCATCACCATGCCTGGCTAAAAATCTGGTTTTACTTTTATTTTGGCAGAAATATAGGCATTAAAAACTGAATAAAATGAAAAGTAGTTGAGCCAGGTGCTAAGGGGGAAAAAAAAATGCAAAAGCAATTTTAGGAAAGCCCTGCCTATCTGTTTCAGATTTTTCCCAAAGTGAAAAAAAAAACACTTTTAATTTAGGTTAAACTAGACTTTTCCTTTATTCCTAAGAGGCACCCAGCTTTTAGGAAAATGTAAAGGTTTGACATATGCAGCGAGAGGGAGGGAGGAGTGTGTTTGGAAAGAAAATAGTACTTTTTTTTCCGGTAAATTTCTGATACAGTGGGGATCAAGAGTAGAAACCTTTTTGGTTTTTGTTTAAGAGAAAATACATTAAAGGTTTTAGAAATGTACCTTGATTGCAAAGCCTTTTTCTTTCTGCTGGTTTTTCCCTTCACGACCCTGTTGGCTCATGTAATTAACTCACATTGCTGACTTCTTTCTCAGGCTGTTGCCTCTGTGCTCACTTGCTTAATGGATTTTTGTTGTTGTTGTTTCATTTTATGTTGGCACCTTGGGTGTATATTTACTATATATGGATATAAAATATGAAATTTTTATACATAGCCTGACATTAGCCATTTAGTATCATACATTGATTTGTACGAATGTTGCCACTGGAGCACTCAGCCTCTTTTATGGCATTATGGAAGGTATTCCCAGGGAGAGATCATTTCCCGTCAACTTTCTCGTTAGTTGCCAATACTCTTAGATATGTTTATAAGCAGTAAAGTAATTACCTTCTCATCATAAATACAGGCTTTAAATTTTTTTTAATTTATTACATTTATTTGGAAGGGGTGCAAATGTGCCACTGCACGTGTGTGGAGGTCAGAGGACAACTTGTGGGAGTTGGTTTGCTCCTTCCACGGTGTGGATCCAGGGGATCAAACTCAGGTTGTCAGGTTTGGTGGCAAGTGCCTTTATCTGCTGAGCCATCTCACCAACCTGGGTTTTCTTTGTTTGTTGTTTTGGGTTTTGTTTTTTGGTTTTTGGTTTTTTTTTTTTTTTTTGATGTTTAATTTCTGTTTGTTATGCTGTAAGTTTAAGTAATTAGTAATTCTGTCCTACTGTTATATGGTAAGACAGAAGTCAAGTCCTGTTCCCTAAAATATACCAGCTCTTCAGACTAATTGTCTCATATAATTTCCCTTACCTTAAGGGAAATTACTTTGTTGCCCCAAAGTAATTCTTTGAATGAATGAAATTCTCTTTACACCCTGTAGAGTACTAGTGCCCTATGCTACAGCATGTTTCTCTGGAGATGAAAAGGAGTGTAAGTTTCCATTTTCATGTAAGGGTTATGTAGCTCTGTAGTTGAGGAAGAAGTAGTGCTATATTGTGGCCTAGAAGACATGCAGAAGGCACCATATGATTCTTCCAGATTGCCTTGGTTTCTTTGTTACTTGAAAGAATTTTAAAGGATACCAGCATTTTTGCCTGTTGAGACACCAATAAAAATTCTATAATTTTCACATAGAAAACAGTAAGGGCAGTTCCTAACCTTACTTATTCTTGAAAAGTACATGAAGATTGTACATTTTACTCATATGTTTTAATTAGAAGCTATATTCCTTATTAAAGTGTTAGTGTCAAGCCATAGCTATGAATAATACATTGTCAAAGGAAATATGTAGCCAAAATTTCATGAATAACTTAAAAGAAAAAATTAGATACACAGCAAAACCAGACAACATTGTCATCGTACTGACAGGGAGGCTAAGTCACAAAGTCATCAAGTATATAACCTATACTTTCATTCCTACACTTAAAGGGCACAGAGAAAAAGTATCCACAGTAATATGTTGTTGTTTGTCCAGAGTTTTTGCTATAAATTAGATCCTCTAAGCACTTCAAGTCATTTGCTTAGGCAGACAGGGAGCAGCTGGAACTGTGGCTGATAATTGAACATAGGCCCTTGCACATGCTAAGCAAGTGTTTTACTATTGAGCTACATCACCAGCTCAGTTACCTGATATTTGTAATGGTCTTTTTTTCTCCCCTAAGAACCCCAAGAATAGCTCCCATTCTTTTCTTTATTTTTTTTTTTTTTCTTTCTCTTGAGACAGGGTCTCCCTGTAGCCCCAGCTGGCCTGGAACTCACTATATAGACCAGGCTGGCTTTTCACAGAGATCCACCTGCCTCTGCCTCCCAAGTGCTGGGAATAAAGGTATGTGACACCATGCCAGGCTCCATTCTTATTTTTAAAGTAGATTTCATATTAATGATGTAAAGTGATACAATCAAAATCAATATATTTCTATATATTTTATTTCAGGAAAATCCTGAATTTGATTTGCATTTTGAAAAAATCTATAAATGGGTTGCCAGCAGCACTGCTGAAAAGAATGCATTTATCTCATGCATTTGGAAACTGAATCAGCGCTATCTCCGGAAGAAAATCGATTTTGTCAATGTTAGCGCACAGCTTTTGGAAGGTAAAGTTAAATGAAAAATTATATGTAAAATTAATACATAATTAATTATGTATTAATACATAATATGACATTATTTAGAGTAATTAGGATATTGAATTTACCTGACATATATCATAAAGAAATTTGAAAGTAATTTTTCTTACTGAAGAATTGATGTTTATTCATTGTAGGACAGTGATGAATTAAGCAAATAAAACTCACTTATAAAGCTGGACTTATAGCACAGGCCAGTAATCTCAGATAACTTGGAAGCCTGAGGCAGGAGCCTCACAAGTTCAAGGCCTGCCTAAGCTATAGAGTAAATGCAAGGACAGTCTGAGTCACTTGGGCAACTTAGTGAGACTCTCCCTATCTACAAATTTTTTTTAAAAAGGTCACTTGCCTAGCATATGTAGGGACACTGGATTCAATCTTAATACTAAAACAAAACTACTGATAAATATATCTAGATAATTACTGTTAACATTTTGGTATATACTTTGACTTTTTTTTTTTGGATGCTTGCTTAAAAACTTTTCTTGCCAGGCATAGTAGCGCACACCTTTAATCCCAGCACTCAGGAGGCAGAGGCAAGTGGATCTCTGTGAGTTCAAGGCCGGCTGGGTCTACATAATGAGTTCTAGGCCAGCTGGGGCTACTGGGAGATCCTGTCTCAAAAAGACTAAAAACAAAAAACTTTTTGTTAAATAGAGAAATTTGCAGTTTTCATATAATAATGTATAATGTATAATAAATGTATCATGAACCATTTTTTCTTGCTACTCAGTACTCCAAAATTATATTGGCACTATCGTATTCCATTGTATGGATATACCATAGTTTAATTTTTTTTTAAATTCCAGTCTTTTCTTATTTTAAACAGCTCTGGGATAAATATCCTCATAGCAGAACTTTTATGCAGTATGCATATAGCGATTAAGAACATATTTCTGATATTATATTACCTGAGTTCAAATTCTGGCTCTGCCAGCTGTTAACTGGCTTAACATAGTTAGCCTCTGTCTCAGTTTCCCTTATTTTAGAAGTAGAGATACCAGTAGTATCTACCTCAGGTTATCATGAGGGCTAAGTTTTTTGATATGTGTGCATGGTGAAAGCAGCATCAGCACATTTGTAATAAATGTTCAACAAATACTATGTCCTATATTATCAGCACAAAACCTGTAGGCATGAAGTTAATATGGGTGTTTGTGATCAGTCTGTCTGGAAATATTTCTATGGAATATTTTGTGTTGCAAGGCAAGCTCTACCATTAATTATTCAAAATGTTGAGTGAGACTTCATTATTTGATAATTTCTTTCATAAGGGCATAAGCATTATAAGGAAATAGTTCAGAATGTCCCATGGATACAGTTTGTATAATACCATTTATCTCAAAGAAAGCAGTTGTTTTTCTTGTTTTTTTGAGATAGGATCTTCCTATGAAGCCCAGGCTAACTTGGAACTCAGTGTAACCAAGACTGGCCTTGAATCATTGGCGATCCTCCTTCCTTAGGCATCCTAGTGCTGGGAATTTGGGGGGTGGTGCACATGCCATGGTGCATGTGTGAAAGCCAGAGAACAACTTTGTGAAATTGTTTCTCTCCTTCTATCTTTACATAGGTTCTAGGGATTGAATTCAGGTAACCACACTTGTATAGCAAGCACACACTGAGCCACTTTGCCAACCCAATATTTTTTAATATTTTATTTTTACTTTGAAGCAAGCCATTTATCTAGTCACTTGCCTCTGTTTTATTTTGATTGATGCTGTTTCCATTTGGCTATGGACCTTTCTGTCCTTAAATAGATTATTCTTTCCCAGCACTTAATGAGCCTGTAGCTACCTTTAGCCTTGGTACTCAGAACTGACAGAAATATCTGGCAGATGCTCATATCTAGCAGACCCTAAGCTGCTCCCCTCAGAAAGACTGGTCTGGCTGGGTAAGGAGCTTCCAGGGTCTGCCATCTCACCAGTGTCTTGACTGATGAGTGTGCTGAGAAAATGACTTCCCAGAAATGTATGGTAATTTTTCTTGCCTTCAATTATGGATTAATTTGCTTTGAATTGGTTTTGATTTTTACAACTGAAGAGAGAATATTCTGATGACTCAGTGGCTCATTGGCAAGTTGCTGTTCTGTTTTCAGATAGTGTTTCCAGATACTATTTATTGCCTAATATGTATTTTAAACTCATTTATTTCATTAGGACAACCATATTGAAAAATACATACTTTACCTTTCACCATGAAACATTGTCAAAAGCAGTGGGGAGAATATTGCTGTTTTTAAGAAGTTTCTTTTATTTAAAAGTATTTAATTTTTCAGGACATACAGTAAAAATGTAGATATTTTTCATGTCTACAAATACTAACTCTAGTTGAGATCAGTTTTAAGAATATTGTGATCCTTAAGAATCTATTTTGGAAAACATTTTCTATAGATCAGTAACTATTGCTTTGGTTTAGTGTTCAGGGAATAGCTTTATTAATGTCTAAAACCTTGGACCTTATAATCTCAGCCATTAATTCCCCTTTTTAAAAAGTGAATGTCTCTATTCTTTGGATGATGTTAGGAGAAAAAAAAAATTACTATCTCATTTGAAGAGCTAAATAATTACCCAAGTCAGTTAAGAGCAACTTCCATCGTTTCTTAGAAATAGCAGTAAAAGGTTGGAGTGAAGTTTGGGACTTTTCAGCAGAATAAAGCTTTTTGAAAAAGAATTTACTAGAACTGAAGGAGAGAGAAATTCTTTTTTTAGCCTTTTCTTTTTCATCCTTTGACTTGTAGCCAGAATTTTAAACAGTCTTCAACTTGAACCCTTGAATGCCTACTGTACTGCTGTCTCCTTGTGTTTTTTTCTTGCCTCAGTCTTGTTCTTTGGATAGTGTTTTGTGATTAATCCTTTGTGAGGGAGTGTCTTGGTAAAGCCTTTGGCCTTGAGTGAAAATAACTACACTAAATGCATGAGTCACAACTGACCTAAAAATAATCTCAGGAAATGATTTTGTTTTCCAGTTTTCTTTCCCAAGGACTGGTTTCTATTTTCCCTCTGAAAGGCTGAGGGAAAATAGAAAAATAAATACCCTTTTAGTCACTCTTAGAAAATGAATTAGAAAAATGAGTCATGGAAATTTAGCTTCTTGGGGGTGGGGGTGGGGGTCCTGTCCACTTTGTGGTTGGTTTTGATGTTGTCCTGAGAACCTTAGTTCATCATGAAGTTCAAATGAGAAAAGGGTAGTATTTTGAAATTTTAAATTGTACACTTTTCTACCCAGCTAACACTCTTTGCTTGCTTCCTCTGCTTTTCACATACCTTTACTCTCCAGAACTGCCTAAAGTTACAGAAGGTGCGTAACACCTTTTCTTATTCTATCCATGTTTTTATTACTTGCCATCAGTGTAGACTATTGGTTGCTCATTTTGTGGAGTTGTGTACAAGGATAAATCTATTACAAAATCCATATAATAATATAATAATAGTATAATTCACTATTAGTGTCCAAGAAAACTGTTTCAAGGGAAAGAAAATATTGCTGAAGCGATTAGATTATTTTAAACACTTGTTCATTTGAAGTGTTTGCAGTGTAAGGAGCTTTAGGGAATGCATTGGCAGTCCCTGCCCTCTAGTGGCTGGTAAGCAATCACACCTGATAGCTCAGCCATGAAGGAAAGAGACCTCATTCAAAGGACAAGGAACATGGTGATGTTCTCCAGAAACATTTCTATGCTATTGTCTGTAAATTGCCTATACCAGAAATTTTAATCCTCTCCCTTTTTGTGGGGTGTGTGTGTAACTAAATCTCCCTAATTATTATTTTTCAGAGTAAATACTGTCTTACTTGGAATTAGGAGGGTTTTATTCTGGTACAGATAAATGTATTTGAAGTCATACTGAATGAAACAGTTGTTTTCATGTAAAATAACAAACACTAAGAGCATTCAAACTGATTTAAATTCTGTTCCAGTCAGTCTAGAAAAGCAGTAACTTTATTTAGAGTTAAAAACTAACTTCCTATGGGCAGTAATTTTTATTTTGCCTCTACTAACCTCAAGCTTCCTGTAAAATGCCTGCATGCTATATATGTTTCTTCCCCTCACTGAATTGAGACCTAGAAAGCACTTCAGACTTTCCCTCTTGATGTTTGTTAGAAGCATGGATACCATGTATGTTTTTGTCATTTCAAACAGAACAGAATATTGTTGTTGTTCTCATATCAAGAGTTCCCAAGAAAATTTCTAATAACCCATGTTTAGCCATTTTATCTGTACATGTGAAAGTTTTCAACAACAAAAATGGAAAATGCAGCCAATATTATCAATATCCAAAATGAATTATGGATTATACATGTACCTCTCACTTCAACTAAAAGTTATTTGAAAGAAAAAAATATATATTTGACAAAGATGAAAGAGCAAAAGCCACCATGGGAAAATGCTCCCTGGAGAGACAGGGAATTAGCACTTTTTCTGTGTTAAGTATTCATCATCACTCTTTTGTTAGAGCAATGGCCACCTCCAGGAGGGGGAGAAAAAAAGATTAGAATCACGTCCTCATACTTAGGTATTTTAATTTAATTATATTCTGAGAAATTGTGGCAAAGCCTATTTTAATGCTTAAAAATCAACCACCATATTGAACTTTTGTCATTTTTTAGGACTTTACTTCATTGACATTATAACTATAAAAATAAGGTGTGAGACTTTTTCATATATTCTAAATCATTCTTTCCTAGTTTTCAGCCACTAAATGTGACTTGTGCTTGTAACTGACCTTACCTAGCTATAAATTTAAGTAGCATACTGTAGTCTTTGACAGTTTTGTTTTGGTTTTTTTTTTTTTACATTCTTACCTTCTTTAAGAATCTGTTCCAAGTGGAGAAAATCAGAGTGTGACAGGAGGGGATGAAGAGGCAGTAGATGAGTACCAAGAGTTAAATGCAAGAGAAGAGCAGGACATTGAAATCATGATGGAGGGCTGCGAGTATGCCATCTCTAATGCTGAGGCCTTTGCAGAAAAGTTGTCTCGAGAGCTGCAGGTGCTAGACGGGGTAAGACTGTCTCATAAGCTATAAGTAAGTGATGTGTAGTAGACTGCAAAGACTGATGATGTTCATGTTTTACTGCCGCAGCACTTCTGATTTTAGTGTATATTGCTGTCATTGTAAGCATATTACCAGCTGTCACCAAGCTCTACTCCTCTTGTTCAAAACATAGAACCAGAAGCTGGAGAGGTGGCTCAGTGGTAAAGCACTTGCCATGCAAGTGTGAATTTGGATCTCCAGCAACAAAGTAAATGCTGGGTAGACATAGCAGCCCTCCTATAGTCCCAGCATTTGGGAAGCAGAGACAGGCCATCCCTTGGGTGGGCTGGCTAGCTAGACTAGCCAAGTCAGGGATTCCTGGGTTCAGGTGAAAGCTTGCTTCAATATATAAGGTGAAGAGCAATTAAGGAAGACACCCCACATTAACCTCTAATTTCTGTACTCACCCATACATGCAAATGCATATTCACACATGCTTGTATACGTATACACACACACACACACACACACACACACACACACACACACACAAGGTGAAACCTTTCCTAGTGAAGACATTGGCTAAGGTTTTAGATTTGGGGATGTTCATATTATGCAATGATAGAAGAAAAAAGTAGACAACAAGATGCCATCTTAGAAGTTGATTCCCCTTAGCCTCCAAAATGCCTCAGATGCAGCTGAAATAAGTTAATCATATGTATGGCAAAACAGGAAAGCCTGGGGAAAGGATCTGGGGCTTGCCACAAAGGGTTTTAGAATAGAGCCTTTGCCTTTTGATTGCTGCGCACAGTTTCCTAGTCTGTAATCTAAATGTGCTACACCACTTCACTTACGTGAGAATAATCTAAAAAAAATCACTTGGGGATTTTGTTTTGTTTTGATCTGTTTTTAAGAAAAGGTAAGCATTTAGGAAACTTCATAGAATAAGCTTCATTTTAAAGATATGAAAGTTTGAGTGCCTTGTGCATGAAAGGTGTAGGAGTTTGGGGATCTGACTCAAGCCCAAAGGGGTGATATAAATAGTCCACGTTTAGACGTTTGTAAAGCTTACTGGAAGCATAGCCTGGAAGAGATTGCACAGTGTCTATGTGGAAATTGTCCATCTCTGCTATTGAACAGATGTCATTGGGTTCTGAGCCCTGCTCAGTTGGGCTGTATTTGCAGTTGATAAAATAGCATGTGTAAAATCCTAGCCTCAAAGCTGCACAGTGATCTTTCTGTTCCTTTTCCAAATTTTTCAATGTATCATGTTAATTGCCATGATATGGCTTAGTGATTTTAATTTTCCTTTTCTAATTAATAATTATGTGTATGTTTTTTGCAACTCAGTTGTAGATTTGGCAGCTTTCTTAATTCAGAGAATTTAGAATCATTGATTTAGAATCAAGTTAGAATCATTGATCATTCATTTAGAAAACATTGATAAGGGGATGATGGCTTATAATTGCTTTGCTTGAGGGGGAAATGCTGGAAGGAGTTGTCTTTTGCCCATATACTCTCCCATATCCTGTTAGTACCAATCATACTACAGTTATAAGTTCTGTGTGTCCCTTAAGGTTTATATTGTACTGCTCAACTGAGATAGACATGATTATGCTTTTATTTATAGTTTCACATAGATGCTAAGTAGAGAACATTTCTGTAGTTGATAGAAGAGATATTAAAGGTGACATGATGTAATGCCCCTACATTTACAGAAACAATGTGTATACTAGGGCAGAACTCTTGTGCAATCTGTGGAAATTAGATTACTGAGGCATGGTCTCTAACCTTTATATAGAGGCAAGCAAACCTATATGAAATACTGTGTGAAAAGTGAAACATGGGGGCTGGAGAGATGACTCAGAGTTTAAGAACACTAACTGTTCTTGCAGAAGACCCAGGTTCAAATCCCAGCACCCACATGGCAGCTCACAACTGTCTGTAACTCCAGTTCCAGGTTATCCAACAGCCTCTTCTGTCCTCCGCGGGCATTGCACAACACAGGTGCACTTAGTTACATGCAGGCATAACACTCATACACATAAAATAAAATACTAAATAAAAAATTTTTTTAAAAAGTGAAACATGCCAGGCGTGGTGGCATACACCTTTAATCCCAGCACTCGGGAGGCAGAGGCAGGTGGATCCCTGTGAGTTCAAGACCAGCCTGGTCTACATAGTTCCAGGACAGCTGGGGCTACAAGGAGACTTTGTCTCAAAAAGACCAAAAAAAAGTGAAATGTGAACATAAACTGATCATACTGGATTGAAAGAAATTTGGAAACTTTTCACCTTTATACTTTTTATTTAGATAACAGAAACTATTACTTTTGCCTTTTACTTCATAGGCCAACATTCAGTCAATCATGGCCTCTGAAAAACAAGTGACCATCTTGATGCAGTTGCTGGATGAGGCTCTAAAGGAGGTAGATCAGATTGAGTTGAAGCTCAGCAGTTATGAGGAAATGCTTCAAAGTGTGAAAGAGCAAATGGATCAGATCTCTGAAAGCAACCACCTAATTCATCTTAGTAACACAAATAATGTGAAACTCCTGTCAGAGATAGAGTTCCTTGTGGTAAGTATTTTCATAAATTACCAACAAGAGTAGTGATAATATATAAAACTGTTTGTAAACTAATTTCCCTATGAGATATAGGGTTTAAAATAATTACAAAGATCTACTGATAGGATTGAGTAGCACCTTACCTATAAGTGTCCCACAATTACCTGTGCAAGTGGTATGTTTGTGTATATTCCAGAACCACATGGACTTGGCCAAAGGTCACATAAAGGCCCTTCAGGAAGGAGATCTTGCTTCTTCTAGAGGCATTGAGGCCTGCACCAATGCTGCTGACGCCCTCCTGCAGTGCATGAATGTCGCTCTTCGACCAGGTATGTTCCATAGAGATTGTAAGATCTGACCAAGAATTGACACCAGCATTGTAACTCGGTAGAAGTATTTTGAGAAGAAATAACATAAAGTGATTTAAGTTTACATTATTAGCTATGCAAACAAGTTTAACTTATTTCCCAACAAATTTCTATTAATGCTAAGAACCTTTTCCAGTCCTTCTAATTGACCATCAATGACTCTAATTAACCCTTTCACCTTCACAAATTTATTATGATGATCTCTGGTTTTTTTTTGTTTGAAGACAGAATTTCACTATATAGACTAGTCTGGCCTTAAACTCACAATCCTGCTTCCTAAGTACTGAGATTACAGGCAGACACCACCATGCCCAGCACTCACAATGATATTTTTTTTTAAATATGCTTTTATTTATGTATGTGTGTGTGTGTGATGTATGCATGTGAACACTTGCACATGTTGAGGTCAGAGGACAACTTTGTAGAGTCAGTTCTCTTTTTCCACCTTTACCTGGGTTCTGAGGATGGACCTCAGGTTGCCAGGTTTGTGCAGCAAGTGTCTTTTGTCTTTACCTGCTGAGCCATCATCCTCGTCTACCATAATCTTTCTTAAGTAGAACCAGGCACAAACTAGATGCTTAGGTTAGACCAGAAAACAGGGTTTTTCTAGGCTATCGTTCTAAAACTTGAGTGTGCATTCGAATCACCTAGAGGACTCATTAAAACAGACTGCCAGACCAAATCCTCAGATTTGTTGGGTCTGGCCTGAGGTCCTAGAATTCGCATTTCCAGCAGATAATGCTGAAGCAGAACCAGTGTGCTGTACTGTTTTCCCCCTCCTCTCTTTTTATAAAGCAAATGAATAAAGCAGTAAAGCTTTGGGTTCTTTAGATCTTAAATATGGGTACTATTGGAAAAGTATTGATTTGAGCTAAGGGTATAGCTCGGGGTAAAGTGCTTGCCTGATGTGCATCAGGCCCTGGGTTCAGTCGCCAGTGCCATCCTGGAAGGGCAGATGGGGAAGTGGGAAAAGGGGCAAATTAAAGAAGAGGAAGTCTGATGAGGCGGCCCAGCAGGTAAAGGCACTTGTGCACAAACCTGGGGACTTGAGTTGGATACCCAGAACCTTTGTAAAGGTGGAAAGTGAGCCCTGACTCTGCAGTTGTCGTCCTCTGACCTCCACACCGTGCCATGGCATGCCCCATCCCATCACACACTCTCACACACACACCAATCACTGAACTTTTTCTGATGGAGGGTCTTTTGCCCCATGTTAAATCACTGAAGCACTGTTGTTCTGATGCAGGCCATGACATGCTCCTGGCCGTGAAGCAGCAGCAGCAGCGTTTCAGTGACTTACGAGAGCATTTTGCCCGGAGATTGGCCAGTCACCTCAACAATGTTTTTGTTCAACAGGTAATTTTAATTTACTAATAAAACTGACAAGTTTCCATAGGTCATTTATATGTTGCTTTAAGCTTAAATTCCCACAAAATTTTAATGTATTCATTGGGACTGCAGTATGTTTCTTCACACATTTATGTAATCTTAAGATTTTGAAATCTATCCATAGTTCCTCCTCATACCTGCACCTTGGACCACAGCTACCCCTCTACATAAATAGTCAGGTTCTTTTCGGATGAAACCATCTGATTCTGGATGTCAAACTAATAGCTACATTTATTGATTACCTAGGTAGTCTTATAAAAATCCAAACTTGGTATATGTTGACTGTTGGCCTTTTATTTTTCAGTGTTTTGATGTGAAAACCAGACTTGAAACATTATCAATGTTAGCTCATAGGCTTTGTGTAGTCAAATACATGTAGTGGACGTGTAAGAAAATGACTAGCTGTAAATTTCAGTTGATTCAGTCTTCCTGTAAACAACTTGCCTCCATTTTTATATGAAAAAGGAATGTTATAATTAAAAATAAGGCAGCAATACACTAATACCAAGAGTACCTTAGAGGGCTGTGGACAGAGATATTTTAATTGCTAATATAATAAGTTGGATTCTTATGTGTTTTGGTTCCTCCTTTTCCTTTACTAGGCATATTGGTTGGAAAAATTAAGGGAAACTCTTACTCATCAGTAAATGCTATCTAAAACCATCATATTCTGACTATTTCTCACTTAATTCTGAGCTGTTATTTTTATTATATCTTATTTCCATTAGTTTGCTCAGGCCCTCCTGCAGCTCTATAGCAGGTCCTGCTTTCTTTCGGTTCCTGTGAGTACATCAGATTTGGCTCAAGCTTCCCTGTTCTTTATTTATAAAGTTTGCTAAACGTAGCAGCAGAATATTTATAGCTTACAGCTTAACTTACTGATTGAAGCTACCTGTTAACTATAATAGTTTTTAAATGCCCCATTTGGCCAAAAAGGCATTTAATCTCATTCTGCTTGCTTTTCTTCCCATCCCTCATCTTCATTTTTGCAGTAATTGCATATCTGTCAGGTGGTTGAGATGCAGACTGGACATTGACTTGGGGTGATACTTCTGATCCTGCCCTTAACTAGCTCAAAGTCTAGGGAAGGGAGGCAGATAGACTGGGGAATGGCAGAGTTCGGGGTGGTGCTGTGCAAGCATAAAGGAGGACCACCTCACTAAGCATGGGAGGGGACATTTCCCTCAGGATTTCACTGGACCTGAAAAGTATCAAGAGCAAAGTCAACTTAAAAGTCATATAAGAAACTCACATTTTTCTTAGCTTATTATTTATAATACTTTTGGCAATAATGTTCTCCACATTTGTGGATAGTATAAAAAAGAAAAGTCAATAAACAGTGGTCTTTGTGCATCCTTAACTGTTTGCTGTAATGTGCAAATTCATTCTTTTTGCTTCTTTGACTTGTGAACTAATGGCTTTGTTTAAAATGAATTCTTTCCATTTCCGAAAATCTAATATGTATTGTTATATATGAGTGATGCATGTAAAAAAACAGAGTGCTGAAACAGTCTGATATGTGCTACTGAAGGCAGAAAAGGGTGTCTCAGATGCAGTGAAAAGATTTTCTCTGTGTTGAACTTGATGTACCAGGTCAGCTAACAAAGGGTTATAGAACATTGAGATTTCTAGTCCAGGTTGGGACACTATTTTGCTAGGAAATTTTGACTAAATTATGGTACATCTTTTTGTCAGTTCCCTTTGTTGCCGTTGTATGTCTGTTATACTGTTGTTCATTTGTAAAAATAAAGAAATGGCTCCTGCCCTCAAGATGTTGCTAAAAAGAGCTAAGGCTAACATACTAAAGCTCTGTAGCAAAGAATATAATCGTTTACTAACTGTAGAACTATGATTGTTAAGTGCTCAAGTGATTTAATCAAAAGTGAGTTTTCTGAGGATTAAAGGAATCCAGCATGGAATCACAGATAAGGTAAGATTTGAACAGAGTCTATACAGCACAGTTTATAACAGATGTGTGATTATGGCATTTATAAATACTGTACAGAAGAATTTATTAACTACAGCAAAACAGGAATTTAAGAGCATTGATTCCCAGTCGTATTAAACTTGCAAATCAGTAAAATTAAGAGATATAAAATGTAGAAACTTAGGCTAAGTTACATGCCTTATTTTACCTAGTAAAGACTTTTAGAACTGCCATCTCTTTTTATTATCTCATTTAATTTTATTTATTATTTTTATTTTACGTGTATGCATGTATTGCCTGCATGTAGGTAAGTGCACCCATGTTGTACAATGCCCGCAGAGAGCTTCAGAAGAGGCTGTAGGATCCCCTGGAACTGGAGTTACAGACAGTTGTTAGCTGCCATATGGGTACTGGGATTCAAACCTGGGTCTTCTGCAAGAACAACCAGTGTTCTTAACTGCTGAACCATCTCTCCAGCCCCATAACTTTATTTTTTTTGCACACTCCCTCTCATTGTTTTATTTTTTTCTTACTGCAGCAAACCAATAACAGCATCTTACTTCCACTGATCCAGGACTGGCTGGCTGTGGTGTGCCTTTCCTGTTAATACTTCTTCATGTCTATACTTAAATAGGACTTGATGTGCATATTTATGTAATATCCATTTAGTGTTGTAATGAGTGATGTTTTTAAAGGTGGCTAGCTTCTCTTGGATATTTTCAATCTTATTCAGCTTCCACTGAAATTTTGCTTCCTTGCTCATAGTTTTTATATTTAGTAGGGATCTTATTACCAGAATGAATTAGGAGAATTAGGTTAGCTGCAAAGATTATGATATTGAAAGCAGACAGTTGAATGAAGGCTGATGCAATTCAGGAAATGTTTGCTTAGGAATATATCATTTTGAAGATTTTTGTGATACATTTTCAAAAACTGCTTTCTACCCTTCATGCTCTTTAGTTCCTCAGGGACTATGATTCTATGCTTTTGCTTCTAGCAATAGTATAATAAGACTGATAGGCAGATAAATACCTTAGAGAAAATGAAAATGAACCAAAGTACCCTGTTCTAAAAAGTATAAGCAGGAAACTAAAGTTGGGGGATTTTTTGTTTAATATATGCTTAAGTGTGGAATTTTTCTTTCAACATATATTTACAGAAATATCATATAAAGAAAGACAAATAAAAACAACCCTTTGTGGTAGACCACCAGTATTCATTCAGTTTTACAAAAAGTGTTTCTTTAGGCTCAGGTTACATTTTCCTAAACTTAGATTGAAGATCTTTGTTTATAAAGTTAGATTTATGATTTAAGATCCATTGCATATTTGTTGGAATTGTGCTCAGACTTTTTCTTTAAGAAAACAAAAATGAGGCCGGGTGTGATGATACATGCCTTTAATCCCAGCATTTGGGAGGCAGAGGCTGGCGGATCTCTTTGAGTTCAAGACCAGCCTGGACTCTATAATAAGTTCCAGGTCAGCTGGGGCTACAGGGAGACCCTGTCTCAAAAAGACTGAAAAGATAAAAAAGAAAACAAAAATGTGTCAATATAAAAAAAGAATAATTCCAAATCTTGGGCAAGCAAGATGGTTTAGTTGGTCAAGGACTTGCAAGGCAGGCCTGGCAACCTCCCCAGAAACTACATAAAGGTTAGAAGAAACGTGACTTCATAAAGTTGTCCTCTGACCCACGTATGGCCCTGTTCATGCCCACACGTTATACACATACACAAAATAATTTTTTAATTAGAAAATAAAAAGGGTTCCAAATCTTAATTTTGATCAGAATTTGACCTGAGTATATCTTTTCTGTTAGAAAGTCATTGTAGCAAAATGTAAGAATGTAAGAATGAGGACATTGGAAGCAGGCCTCCTGGAATCCACATCTGTTACCTTGAGGCCAGGTAACCTTCAATGAGTTCATTAACCTTTCTGTGCCAGCTTAGTTGCCTTATTTAATAATGGAGATAGCAAAGTATCTTCTTCAAAGGGTTGTTGTAAGGATTAACGTGTTTATATATTAAGTACTTCAACCAGTGTTTACCCAGAGTAAGTGCCCCGTGTTAATTTTATTAAAAATTCTAGTATATATGTATGTGCTACTTTTTAAAAGTTTATAACTCAGCAAGTTTTTACAGAATGTGTGTCTTTATTTGAAAACATTATAAATTATGTTAATTATAGAGTTAGCAGTTTTAAAATGAGGAGAAAAGTACATTGCAAGGTTATTGCAAATATTAAAATTTATAAAATGTACCTACCAAGGCAGTGGACATTCAGTAACTCTTTGTTGCTCATCCATTATTATTTATACTAAGAAACTTTAATCAACATTTAAAGTTTTAAACATAAGGTGAATAAGGTGTTTTATACATTAGTGTTCTACCTATGGAATTTCTATATTATTGATTGCATCAAATTGCTTAAATAATTTTGCAGTTTTTTATTCTTGTTTTGGAATCATTTTATCTAAAATTAAATCTAACATTCAGTGGATCTCAATAGTAATGGTTGATGGTAATGATAATCTATATGAAATACCAGTTTTTCAGGTGTTTGTGATGTGAAACTGTAAGAAAACTTGGCGTGGTAGCATGTGCAGGAGCTTTGTAAGATCCTCTACACAACAGTTGATAATTAATTCTTCCCTTTTCCAGGAAATATTTGTAGTGATTTTAAAGCATTCCTGATTTTAAAATAAATAGTATAACTTCATGTGATAAGAGACTAAATAGCCTATTATGTAGAAAACATAATAATTTTGAGCCTTGAATCATTGAGGAAGAATTAGTGGGGAAGAGTGATTTGAGTAATGAAAGCATATCTAATAAACACAGTTTTGGGGACATTTGTAAGACATAAAATATCCTTCCCCTTTAACCAGCACAACTAGGTAAGAGACATAATGGGGACAGGCTCCTAAACCTGAAAGTATAACACCACTGACACTCCGTGTCTTACACAGGCAGTGTGAAGACTCATACTCATTCTGTAATTTAATGTTTATGTTCACTTTTGGCAACTATAGAAGTAGAAACAGGACAATGGTAACAGGAATACTTTGTAGAAACTATTAAAAACCTTCTAGGCAGGGTAATTTTCTTTCAGGATTCTCTGTTTATAAAAATTTAAAAACAAAAACCATAGCACTAAGTTCTTATTTGTGTAATATATATAAATATATTTATTACATAATATAATTAGAAGTCATAAATCTTTCAAATTAAAAGAATTTAAGTTCTTTAAACCCAAGGTACTTATCAAACTATTGTCTTCCAGCCAGTATTATATACATTTAGATAATTTTTACCAGGAGATGAATTAACTGAATGCCCCGCCCCCCAAAAAAAAATTTCCGCAGCCTTTGTAATTCTAATAGTTTCTACAAAATACTGTAAATACTAGGCAAATTAGGTGAGTGAAAATGACTTCAAGTAAACATGAATTTTGTTGCTCTTTGCTTGTTGCTTCGAAATTTTATTTTCAAGGGGAATCTGACCTTGAAACTCACATCTCTTGGACACTGGCTTTTAAGTACCATGACAGATGTTGACTAAGTAGTGACAATAGATTATTCAAAGAAGCCTGCGAAGATATATATATAATCTCCCCACATTTACACTGATAGGTAACTGCAATTTTTGAGTCTGGTTAAATGCTTTTGTTTGAATGCTTTTAAATGGAGATAGAAGTTAGACTCAGTTGACCAAGGTTCCAATTATAGCCTTCTCCTATATGACCTGAGCAAATCACTTAATCCCCTGAGCCTTGGTTCCTTGTAGAAAATAAGGTTATAAAGCTATATAAGCTTCTAGGTCTATATTTTTCAAAGCAAAAGTCAAGATACATGATCTAATTAAGACTGCTTATTATTAATTTATCTACATGAAATTGTCATGGTTTAAAATAGACATATCTAGTTATTTGGCTAGCATATCACATTAGTAGAAAAATTAGAATTACATTGTTATTGGGTTATCCTGGAAAGCCCAGGATATAGTCATCTGTAGTCTTTTCTTGCTCTAAAATTCTATGTCATTTTTGGAAATAGTTCAAATATAGTTTGTTTATAGTGTACAAAATATTCACATAGTTTTGCATTTTCTAAAGCAAACATTCAAAGTCTATTATTATTTAGTTCTGTGGTATGCTTTGGGATAAAAGTGTTACCTGTTAACTGTAACATAGAATATGAGGTAAGAGTATATGTTTTTAGAGCAGAAGAATAAATTGCTTATCTATAAATGTGTCACTCCCTTGGGCGAGTTTTCGCCCTTCCTGAACATTAGATTGAAGTTTTAAATAGAGAGCACTGAAATAGTGAAGGGAAGCTTTTAAATTACCTCTTATAAACACAATAAATATTAGTTATTATTGTGAAGTAGAATTCAAAAAATTCTGAAAGGTTTGAAGAAAGACATTCAAACCACCCATCATTACACTATCCATTGCCAACCAACTATAAAGATTTACTTTACTTTTTCAAGGTAAATATGTATATCTCCATTCCAGAGACATGAATTTATTCAGTACCTAATAGATCTTTGATTTTTATGGGGGTTTTTTTGTTACTATTTGCTTGCTTGCTTGCTTTTGAGACAGTAGCCCAGGCTGGATTCAATCTCATGATCCTCCTGCCTCCAGCTCCCATATACTGGGATTATAGGCATATGTCACTAACAGTTTTTAAATATTACTTAACTAAACTATACATTATGTCATCATTTTAACAGTTGCATTTTCCCCATTGTATGGCAAAGACAATAATTATTTTTGATTTTTACATTTTTCTTTTCACTACTATTATTTACTATTTTTAAAGAAGTTTTAGTTTTAGTGTGTGTGTGTGTGTGTGTGTGTGTGTGTGTGTGTGTGTGTGTGTAAGTATGCATGTACAAGCAAGTGCCTCTGAAGGCCAGAAAAGCATTGAATCTTCTGGCGCTCTTGTGTTATAGCTGATTTAGCTGGTTATGAGCCACTCAGTATTGTGGTAGGCACCAAACTCCAGTTCTCTACAAGAACAGCAAGCGCTCTTAGCTAATGAGTCATCGCTCCAGCCTGTATAAAAGTCTGTATTTTTACATGTTTATCTGTTTTAAAAATTATAAACTCTGATGGGAATAATATTAAAATGAAAAGTTTGTTGTTTTAATGACTTCCCTTTTGGTGTGTTTCTTAATACAATCTGTATCAAGAAATTTACTTACAGTTGTAAAATGATAGAGACAAGCTTAACTAGATATTCTCAACTCTTGAAGATGAAATGGGTAGTGATTAATCCCAGTGCCATCCGTGCATGTTTGTGATTATTTAATAGTGTCATTATTTAGTGGATGTATACAGTATGACAAAAGTATACAAGTAAGTACTTAGTGCTTATTTTTCTGTATTCTTTTGGGTTTGCTTGGCTACATCTGGTCACTGTCTAGAATTTTCTATTTTAACAGTGTTCCCTTGAACTTTCCATCACATTTATTTACTTTTTTACTCACTCTAGGGTCATGATCAGAGTTCGACTCTGGCTCAGCACTCTGTTGAACTGACTTTACCCAATCATCATCCATTTCATAGAGACCTGCTCCGTTATGCCAAGCTCATGGAGTGGCTAAAGAGCACAGATTATGGGAAATATGAGGGGCTGACAAAGGTATGGATTTCATGTCAATTACTCATCAAGAATAGAACATAGTCTTCTAGATTGTTGTATGTTCAGTTTAAATTTGGAATTCTGAAGTATGTTTTTAGCAAAGCAGATAATAAATTTAATTTGAGTTCTAATTTGTTTACTTAGTTAAAAAACTTTTTGAACTTCAGTGTAAAAAAGTATTAAGCTGTACTATGATGTATATCATTCTATTTAGTCAAGTGCTGTAATTATTTCTTGAGAAATTCTCTTTTTTTCCCTCGTGTGTGTGTGTGTGTGTGTGTGTGTGTGTGTGTGTGTGTGTATGAATGCATGCATGCATCTGTGCACACCCCTGTGTAAATGCCAGAGGAGGATATTGGGTATTTTCCTCTTCTCTTTAGTTAGGGTCTGTCACTTAACCTGGAACTCGCTGTTTTTCAGCCAGGCTGACTGGCCAGCAAGTCCCAGAGATCCTACTGTTTCCCTGCTTCTACCACTAGGCTTACAGGAGCACATAGGCACACCAAGCCTTTTGTTTTTTAAGATTTATTTCATTTTTAATTATGTGTATGTGCATAGTATGTATGTGCAAGTGAGTGCCAGTGCCTGGGGAGACCAAAAACATTGGATTCCCCTAGAGGTAGATTCATAGGCAGTTGTAAACTTGCTTGTCATGGCCTGTCATGTATGCTGGGAACCAAACTCCGGTACTCTGCAAGAGCAGTACTTGCTCTTAACCACTGAGCCTTCTCGCCTACCCCATGCCCAGCTTTTTACATAGGTGCTGGGAATCCAACCCAGGTCCTGATGTTTGCACAGAAAGCTTTCTTACCCACTGAACCATCTCCCCAGCCTCTCTTGAGTAACTCTTTATCCACAATATAGACACTGGAAGTATGAACAGGTAAGTGAAGTGGTTCCATGTTAGGACTTATAATCTTTAATTAAAAAAAAGAGCAAAGTACCTCTTTATTAAGCAAACCTTCCACTATACCAGGCAACTGGAATGTAACAAACAAGCTTCTAAAGAGCATTGAGAATGACTGGGAGAATCATAATAAACACTCAGCAAAAAAACCTGGAAGTTTAAATATAAACTATAAACAGTGTAGAGAAGGGAAATCCAGGTCCTGAAGCCATGGGGGAGACTTCATGGGAGATACTGGACTTGAGTTTTAAATAACAAGGGAGGCTATAGGCAGGCCACTGCCCCTTATGGTGGACTTAATAAGTTTTCTTTCTATAATAAATAATAAGTAAGTAAATAAATAAATAAAAATACTGGGATCGGATAAACCAGAATAAGAGGAAGGACATAGGGGAGGGGTAGAAACAAGCTGTGATGACAAGGGTAGTAAAATATGCCCTTGTCACAGGACAGTGGAAAGAATTTGCAGGACCAGAATAGAAATTTCATAGCCTAGAGTAGTGAGAATATGCATTGATAAAGATGAGCTGTCCCCCCAGCAGCATTCCTCATGCATGGACATAAATTAGATGGCACACACCTTTAATCCTGCAGGGGTTAAACCCAGCAGAGACAGGCATATCTCTGAATTCCAGGACAGCTTGGGTCTCTATAGGCAGTTTAGGCCAGTTGGGTTACATAATGAGACCCTGCCTCAAAAAAGGGGGTGGGGAAACCTTGATTTGAGGTTACCTGCCCTCCCCCTGGAGAAAAAAAAAAGATTAGAGAGGGAAAAATTCATTAAAAATGTAATGTAGTAATTCAGATGAAATGAAATTCTGACCCAGGGAAATAGTCGTAGGAACAATTTGAAAGAACAATTTGAAACTGAAAGAACAATTTGAAAGGTAGAAGCACCAGGATGATATTGAATTTGCCAGGATCCAAGAGTGGGTACAACAGTGCTATACTTTAGCAACCAAATCAGGGCTAGAGGAAAAAGAAAGGCAGAGTCAATCATTCAGATTCTGGATTGAGTACTTACTATGTACTCAATATGCACTAATGTCAGAGTTGGAGATTTGGCATTGAAGGAAACAGGCAAATACCATCTCAGAGTATATATCTAGAGAAAAAAACACCAAAAAAGTTTACTTACACACACACACACACACACACACACACACATGCATGCAAGCAGCAAAGTATTGTAATTGCTCTAGAGAAAATGAATCCAGGGATGCCAGGATTGGGAGAAGTGTCCAATTTCAAATAGGGCAGTCAGAGACGAGTAGTGAGAAGGTAGCCTTGGAGCAGATTTTTTTAAAAGTGAGGGATGACAATGAGGGAAGGAAGGCTGTCCTGACACAGAACAGACACCCTTGGACAGAGCATTCCTAGTGGGCCTGAGGATGAGCTAGGGGACCAGTATAGTTGGAGTACAGTAAACTAGGGGTGGGGCCTGAGTGGGGTCCCTGGTGATCTGGAGATACCATAGTAAGGGGTTGGCCTTATTATGTGACATTAGGCAGAGGAGGAGCAGTGGGCTTTAAGGAATAAAATGACTTGATCTACCTTAGATATAATAATGGCCTTTGTAGCAGGAAGCCACTGTAGCAAAGCCTAAGGTTCCTGGCAATTATTCCTCACCTTTAGTTTAGAAATGGGTCGTCAGTGTCCCTTAAAAAAAAATTGCTGCCTACCTAACCTAGCAATATAAATTATATTTGGTATTTGTATAAATAACTAATAGTTTCGACTAAAAGAGCAGTTTAAATGCTGAGAAATATTTAAAGTGTTGAATCTTTAAGATTTTGTGAATTGGGAGCTGAAAAATAAAATATTCAAGGAATACATAAGTTCTTTTAATAATTTAATAATAATTATGCATAATATAACCCAGAAGATATCCTAGAATTGGAGAGAGGTTTTGTCTTTGTGGAAGATATTGAAGTTGTTAATAAACTAGCCAGTATCTTAGATTTGTGCTTCAAGGGAAGGCAGAGGGATAGGTAGAGATTTATGAGAAGTATAAATAATTCTAAGAAAGGCAGGTTGTATATTCCCATCCATCTATTGAAGTAACATTTGATGGCAGCACATTCTTTTATATCATTCCTCATGTTTTCTCTTTGAAGTACCTTTGCCCATTTAAAGTAAAAATCAGGCTCCTTCTACTTCTAAATTGAGATCTTAAGAAAGGAAACCTCCTGGTAAAATAATATTTTCAAATCATACTTAAAAATGTTTTTCAAGGGCTGGTAAAAGCACTTTGCTGCCAAGCACAACAACCTGAGTTTGATTCCCAGGACCCACATGGTGGAGAGAACTGACCACTGACTCCCACAAGTTGTCCTCTGACCTTCCACTCATGCACCATGGCACATGGACATGTGTGGACATACATACACAAACACACACACACGTGCACAAATGCACACAATTTTATTCTTTTCAAAAAGTTTTCTTTTTTATATTTTATTTTTTTTATTTTATGTATGTGAGTGTGTTGCTTGCATGTATGTAAATGCACCCATGTTGTGCAGTGCCCTTGCAGGACAGAAGAGGGTGCCAGATCCCCTTCCCCTAGAACTAGTTATGTATAGTTGTTACCTGCCATGTGGGTGCTAGGAATCGAACCTGGTCCTCTGTAAGAGTAGTCAGCGCTCTTAACTGCTGAATTATCTCTCCAGCCCCCTCAAAAAGAATTTTCATCCCCTGGCATGTTTATATCTTATCTGGCTTCCTAGTTTAGTTGTTTAATCTTTTCTTTTTTTGTTTGTTTTTAAGACAGGCTCTCAGTATGTAACACTGGCTGGCCTGAAACTCACTATGTAGACCACCTGGCCTTGAACTCAGGGATCTACCTACCTCTGCCTCCTGAGTTTAATCCCCTCCTGGGATTAAAGACATGTGCCACCATGCCCAGACTAGCTTACTGGTTTAGGTAAGATTATTTTTTATTTCTCAGAATTTGTCTGTTAAGTGTTATACAATTCTGCTATTCTTTGGTTCTGTTTTATTTCATTCAGCAGAATTCTGATTTGGCGATATGTTAAGGAAAAATATTTATAATATTGAAATTATTTGCCTTTTAGGAGATTAATTTTTTTTTTTATCTTTTTGAGACAGGGTCTCCCTATAGCCCCAGCTGGCCTGGATTCACCATGGAGACCAGGCTGGCCTCGAACTCACAGAGATCTGCCTGCCTCTGCCTCCTGAGTGCTGGGACTAAAGGCGTGCTCCACCACGCCCAGCTAGGAGATTAATATTTTTAAATAATTAAATCTCCTTAAGTATTTCATGCCACCAAGTGCTTTGCTCCCTAGCGACTATTCAAATAAGTGATCAATAAGCTTTTTGCCTAATTGTATTCTCAGTATTATTACCCTGTCTTTATGTATTATTCAGTATTCATGAATGTAATTTAAAGTGAAGACATAAGATGAGGGCCAACCTGGTGATTTATGGAATCATTCTCTGCTCACAAGGTTTTACATTTTTTCCACCAAAGGGTATTTTTGAGTGACACTACTAATGAACTTTTTCAATGAAATTTCCAGGAATGTTACTTGATCCTGTGGTTTAAGCTCTTGCTAGATTGCATACATGTACACACACACACACATTTCTAATTTGGCTGCTAAATATTGCCAAAAGGAGGAATTTTTTTTAAAGGGAAGAAGGAATGGGGTGGGGATCTAAAGGAAGAAACAGACAAACTCATGTTTCTTGAAGCACTTGGTTGAGTGTACACATCTCACACGTGTTGGAATGAATAGGGAAACCCTCTCCACATTCTTCAGGGATAAGAATTTATTCTTAGCCATTGCCCCCAGGTATACTTTAGCTAAATGTAAACAGGGTTTCTGTTTTTTATATGTACAGTTAGTGCCATTGGAAAACAGAGGGGCTTTGGCTATATAGTTCAACTGCTCAGACTTCTTTCCCAGGATTCTAGCCCCTATCTGATCCTATCCATGGGCAAGTAATAGAGATTCTCCCTTCATGATTGGGACATTGAGTTTTCTCTCCAGTAGCACTTTGAGATTAACAGTCTGAAAGATTTCTCAAACATACCTCAATGTTAGTTCCTGTGCCCACTTCAACACATATTAGAATTGGAACAATACAGATTAGCAAGGCCCTTGTGCAAACATAATAGACATTCATAAAGCACTTTATATTTCTATGATGGAAAGGCCTCCCATATTCATGGATAGGCAGAATTAATATTGTGAAAATGACTACATTGTCTATCTTCCAAATTTGTAGAATTTGCATTATTGTGTTTAAAAAAGAAAAAAGCACACGTGTCTGGAAGAGCTATAGTCAGCACAAAGTAAAATTGAAAAGACTGCTTGAAATAATATATTTAAAGTCAAAATAGGGGTTGGAGAGATGGCTCAGCAATTCAGAGCACTGGCTGCTCTTCCAGGGAAGCCAGGTTCTGTTCCCAGCACCAACATGTTAACTAACAACTGTCAGTATCTCCAGTTCAAGGGGATCCAATGCTCTCTTCTCATCTCCACGGGCATTGCTTGACAGGGGTGCACATATATACACTTATATATACACATATATATGAAGGCAAAACATTTATACACACAAGAAAGATAAATTTAAGTCAGGTGCTAAAGGGAATTAATTTTGTGGCATATTTTAATTTGTGTGTGCTTTCAGAGATCATGAGAAATAATTATGAAATAATTACCCAGTTGAGTAACTTTTCTTTCAGATATAGTCTGCACATTGAAAAAGGACAGCCTCTAACGTGTGTTTGGTCCAAATATTATTTTATATTGTAAAGTCATAATAAAATATCTAAGAAAAATCAGTGAACTCCAAGTAAATAATTTACATAATATGTACCTTTTGAAAGATATGCCTGATCTTATAGCCCAGTCTATAAAATGATAGATCAATTTGAGACAATAAAGGAACTTGAAGCTAAGATTCTGTGATAAATTTTCAAGAATAGCTAGGAATGATTGTTCTGCCATAGATTTCTTTAAATTTAACCAAACTCTGTGAAATGCCGTTTAACTCGGGACTTGGAAAGATGCATGATCTCCCACTACTAAAGAGTCATTCCTGAGAACCTAAGGTGTTTTTATGTGAAGATAAACAGGTGTGGCCAATAACTGAGTGTATACTAAATAACAGCTGTCTTCATTTAAGGGACAGGTAATTGAATCTAAGAAAAAAAATATTTTAAAAACTGTGTTGTGTACTAATTAAATTTTGACTGACAATAACCTATTTTGGGATAACACCCAAGACTGACAATGTTTTAGTGAAACAAGGAGGTCTCTTCCACTGCCACTGGCACTGCTAAGCAATGTGTTGGTATGAAGGGAGTCATAAAGATTCCCAGCAGTCTTCCTGTAGCATGAGGCAGCACCTGTATCACCCTCACGGATTCCTGTACTCTTTTTTTTTAATGTATTTTTATTTTTTAAATTGTATGTGTATGATTGTATTGCTTACATGTATGTAAGTACACCCATGTCATGCAATGCCCACAGAGGTCAGAAGAGGGGATCAGAGCCCTTGGAACTGGAGTTTCAAACAGTTGTTAGCGGCCATGTGGCAGCAGGGAATCAAAACCCTGTCCCCTGCAAGAGCAGTCAATGCTCTTAAACACTGAGCCATCTCTCCAGCCCTGACTTCCATACTTTTTGACCCTGCATTCCAATCCACCCTTAGGAAATTATCCCAAGGAAACATCATTAGAGACCAAAAATCTTACTGTGCCACTGCCTATAACAAAACACTGAAACCACTTCCTTGTCCTTTGTTAAGGAATTAGTTTACTTTGTTGTGGTCCATCAGCAAAGTAGAATATTGTTCTACTATACAGAGAGGCAGGAAAAGCAGAGTTGATCTGGTTCAATAATTCCAATAATATTTAAAATATTCAAAGGTAATATGTAAAAGTGGAAATATAGGTATGGTTGTTTGACTTATTTTTATAAATTGTTAATGTAGAATACCTTTTTTTAAAGAGAAAAAAATAGCCTTGTTTTTACATTCTATGAAGTACACTAAGGTTTTAGACTACCAAGTTTATAAGTATAAAGGATTTAGGGGGAAGGCTTAAAATCGAAATTGTTAAATATGGTTTACTAATAAGAGGTACATGTTACATTTATTTTAAGAATTACATGGATTATTTATCGCGACTATATGAAAGGGAAATCAAAGATTTCTTTGAAGTTGCAAAGATCAAGATGACTGGCACAACTAAAGAAAGCAAGAAGTTTGGTAAGCGTAGCCATTCAGTTCGTTGTCTTCATATTAAGAATAATTTTACTTCTGACAAGTCTAAAGCCTTTTAAACAAGGTGGAAGAAACTACAGTAGAATTAAAGAAGAAGTCTAATACATTTAATTTACAGGTATTTCAAAGAAAATGTCTTTGAAAGGAAATGTGTATCTTGTTTTCACTAACTAAAATTCTGTAGTGTATAAATCTGACAGCAGTGGGGCATTCATGCTATGATTAGTTCACAGGGAAAGCTGTGGATGAGAAATTGAGGTGCAGTCTGGTAGACAGAGCATTAGGCAGGAGACCCATGTTGGGAATTTTGTTTCTGTTCCCCTAAAGGACCATTTTTACAGGTGGGGACAAGTCATTATTCTCAAGTCATTGCTCTCTATAGAGAAATGAAAATGATTCCTGCTTCTTACTTCTCACTGGCTACCTTGGATCAAAAAAAAAAAAAGTATTTAGTATTTTTCCCCCTGCCAGTGGTCTATAAAATTGTCACCAGAATCTCTCCTGTGATTATACCTTATTCTTCTAAAGCACTATATTTGGGACTTACTATTTTGTGTTGCCTAAATATTTTAAAGGGACAAAAGGATAATTTGAAAGAATAGCCAGTGAAAGTATCAAGCTGAGGAAGGTGATGTGCCGAGGCCACGTTCTGCTCTTGCATGTACCCATCTTTGGAGTTTTCTTTGGATGGAGTTCTGTGCCTATTCAAGTCCAAACCTGGCCTTAAAGGGCTACATGTGTACTCCTCGATGTGTCTGCAAAGCATCCCTTTAGAATACTGAGTTTAGCATTGACTGTTAAAAGGAGCCTATCTACGCCCTAAGCAACTGCAAGAATCAGGAAGCAGGGTTGAAAATTGGTAGCACCTGTTTCCATTTATTAGGGCGGCGAACACTGTCCTTAGACATCATACTTTTTTAATTCACTGAATTAATTATAGTAGTCCAGACATTTGAAGTAGATTGAATTTGTTTGTTAATATGATACAGCTTGATAAAGACAGTGTCTTGGGACAGTAGGCTTTTGGAAACAGAAATGCTAACTCATCCTAAAGGCTAATTGTTCTTAAACAGCAATGTGTTTATATCCTTGTTACTGTTTCACTGTGGATGTTACACCTTTTTTGAGCAAAGAGCATATTATTAATGCAGTTACATGTTTAATGTTTTCATTAAGTATATTTGTCACCACTTGTTAGTGAACCATTTTATATTGAGATATCGCTTTTTTTTTCCACTCTTTTTAGTATATGAAAACAAGTCAGATCCACATTAAGATAAATGAAATAAAAATATAACTTAAATAAAATATAATAGTATCTTAGTTATCATTGTTGTAGCCTAAAGCCTAAGATTTTTCTTTTCCTACCCTTAAGTTCTTAAATTATCTTGTTAAAAATATTTAACTTATATAATATAGGTTTAGAGGGCACTTGTATAATTTTAAAACATTCTAACAAAATAATAAATTTTCTATACATCAATTAAATGATAAGGAATAGGAGAGTAGTTTGTAACCATTCATGGCATGGAAAATTAAAGTATCGGCTATCTTATTATCAAATACAAAAGATGAAAAACTAAATTCAGAGAATAAAAGCAGTTTGTTCATCTCTGAAGATCTGACTTGTTAGCATTTTAAAAGCAAAATTCAAGTTAAATACAGATGGCTTCAGAAATTCTGAATCTAGTAAAGTGTAAATTTTTCCCAATACATTTTTTCAGTTATTCAAAATTAAAATTAAAACCCCTAAATTTGGAAAGTTAATTTCTCAGTCACTCAGAGTTAGTTTTAAATGTCAATTTCTATTGCTTTTTACTTGCTCTGAAAATTCTAGGTCAATGAAACTGGTAAGAATCTATCTCAGAAAAGGAAAAAGATTGATAAAGAACATTCTCAGAGTCAGAGGGATAGCTCTCTCTTTTGGAAACTTAATTCTTATCTTTGCCATCACTTATTTGAAGTAATTCAAAATAGGCTAAAGATGCCAGGAGAGTATCTTTTCTTTGTCATAAAGTCTTTATGTAAATCTTTTTTAAAAATTATTTTAATGTATTATTTATATATCCTCAGAGGCATAGAATTTCCTCCCAGGATCAATACTTTGATAGATTCGTTTCTTTCTATTCTCCAAATGTACTTAATAAGATGGAGGTAAAGGAAAATTAATGATTATTTTTACAATCACTAATTTTTTTTTCGTCCTCAGTTAAGATGCATACCTTAAAGATAAATGTGTCACTGGGTGACTAGTTAGCAATCACCTAACTTAGTGACTTAGACTTAGACTTTGCCACTTTAATATCTGGACTTCTTGTTCCATGTTCTCTTGAGCTTCAGGTGATCAAACCTGGGAAGATATAGTGGCTTTTGCCTTGAAGTGTGACAGGCATTGTGTCAGTTGACACATTGTTCTCTGTTTTTGAGGTCTTTTAGTCTATAGTTTATTCTTTAGTTGCATTAATATGATTTATTTGCCTTTTGATAACTTACAATTTTGAATTTAGAATGTTTCATGACATAAGCTCTAAAACTGATCTATAAATATCACATAGAGCAAAACTTGAGAACAAAAGAAATGCCAAATGATGGGGGCTGGAGAGATGGCTCAGCAGTTAAGAGCACTGGCTGTTCTTGCAGAAGACTCATGTCAAATCCCAGCACCCACATGGCTAACAGCCATCTGTAACTCCAGTTCTAGGGCATCTGATGCCCTCTTCTGTCCTCTGTGGGCATTGCACAACACGGGTGCACTGCAGGCAGTACACTCATACACATTTAAAAAAAATGGCAGATGACCAGTTCAAAGTCCTGTCTAAATCTGCCCCTCAACTTTACTCTTCTATGCACATGTCTCCTGGTTGTTGGTTTCATGCCCTTCACTTTAGTATTCATGGGCCAGTTACCAAGTAATTCAGTTTGATATTTGGCTTTAATTTTAAATTACCTTAAAGCCCCACTCAATGTTATTTTTTAACAGCTACAATATAAAATTATTTAGTCCATGGAGGTTGTTTTCAGGAGCTTGCTTTCAGGGAATACAAGATTGTTAATGCCTAAATAATCCCGTTTCCTAATAAATTTCCACTGTATTAAATTATTATTACTTGGAGCTACATTTTCTCTGGAAATAAAACTTTGCAAATTCATTCTTTTAAATGTAAGTATACCAACTTTCTAAACTAAAACAACAACATGCATCTAAAAGTGTGGGAGAGAGATTTTTCTGAATATTTGAGTAAAAGCCATATATTAAAAGACTAGTAAAATTTTTCTCTCATAATTTTTCAATTAGTAGCTGACCAACTAAATGTGTGTTTGCACCTTTCGTTACTCGATGCTCATGGTTCTTTGCATGTGTCTTTTTAAACTAGAGCTTTAACTTCCTCTTGTGCATGGTTTGTGCAAATTGCAGTTTATTAACTTGTCTTTGTCTTTGATGCTTGCAACCTAATCCATCACAGCTACACTGCCTCGAAAAGAAAGTGCTGTCAAACAGGAAACAGAGAGTGAGTATGCTTAGTGTACTAGTAGGTGTCCTCTGCTGTTTAATGTCTAGAAGTTACTTGTCTTGAAAAATATTAATGCCAGAAATATTGATTGCACTGAATTGCAAGGTATTGGAAAAGGAAACTCAACATGGTGGTTTTGATGTGGTACATCCAAGAAATAAGTGATATAGTTAAAATTGTACAGTGAGGAATAAAACTTTGTGTCAAAAATTTATGAGAAGCCTTAATTAACCATCATACTTCTATTTTCAGGCTGTGTTAGAAAGAGCTCTAAAAATCCTTATTTGGGCAGGAGGGGGGCGCTGGAGAAGTGTCTCAGCAGTTAAGAGTGTGTACTGCTCTTGCAGAGGACCCAGGTTCAGTTCCCAGTACCCACATCAGGTGGCTCACAACCACCTAACTACAGCTCTAGTGGACTCTGACTCCTCTGGTCTCTGTAGGCACCAGCATTCATGTGCACATACTCATATGCTGACACACACATGCATATAATTAAAAATAATAATAATAAGCTGGGCTTGGTGGCACATGCCTGTAGTCCCAGCACTTGGGAGGCAGAGGCAGGCCAGTTTGATGGAGAAATTACTCAATTGGGGTTTCCTTTTCCCAGGAGTCTCCAGTTTGTGTCTAGTTGATAAAAACAAAATAGCCCAATTGTTTTATGTCTACTAAAACTTGTGGCTGCCATAATGGCATATGCCTTTAATCACAGCCCTCAGCAGGCATAGGCAGGTGGATCTCTGTGAGTTCAAGGCCAAGGTCTACATAGTGAGTTCCAGGCCATCTGGGGCTACAGGGAGACCCTATTTCAAAAAGACCATAATAATAATAATAATAATAATAATAATAATAATAATAAATCTTTAAGAGTTCTTATAGTCTTATTTTACATAATGAAGCCAAAGTGTCTCAAATTGTCCCTGTTAGAACTTCATTTGCCCCTTCGGCCCATTAGCAATCAATACAAGTTGAGGGATAATCTAGAATTTAAGTGTTTTGTTTATATTCTGAATCTAAACATCACATTTTCTTCTAATAAATGAATCCTTTAATTCCTTGTTTTTTAAGGTGGGCTGTTGTTCATCTTGAATTCTCATTTTTCCTCATGGCTTTATTTTCCTAAATTCTGCCTAAACACAAATGTCTCTTATCAGTATGGTCTAATGAAGTGTTACATATCAGTGGTATTTTAAAATATCAGATTCTAGAATTTTTTTATACCTATAGATCACTGGGTTAATCATTCACTTACTAGAAAAGCAGTGTTTCTAGTTCAGAAGTATATTAAGTTGAATCATATATATTTAGCTTTTTGTGGGGCAAAATGATCAAATAGTGATGGTTTCTTGTGGTTCAACTTAGTAGATTCATTTTAAATTAAGAGATGATTAGTAGTGAGGTAAGGGTTTTCTTCAGAAATATTACAGAGCCTGTCCAGCTGTTATGCTACTGTAGTACTTAGTGACCTTCATCTTTATACCTGTCCTTCGAACAGGAAAGAAACCCTCATCTCTTTCAGCTTAGATAGCACCAGAAAGCGTGATGGAATGGGGCAGGGCATAGACTCTCAGATCTTTAAGGTCCTCTCTATCCTATTCCAAAGTTGTGTGTAGTTTTCTTTCTCTTTGTAATATGTTCTGCAGTAGGGTACCCCAGTATCAAGGCAAGTTAAGGACTATGCACAACTTGTACTGTGTAGCAGAATATGAGTCCTTGAAGGTGAAGACTGTAGAGAGTAGTCCTGGTACAGATTCTGGATCCTGTATTCATGAAGATCACGACTTTCAAAGTGTTATTATTTCTTAGGTCTTCATGGAAGCTCTGGGAAACTAACTGGATCAACTTCTAGTCTAAATAAACTCAGCGTTCAGAGTTCAGGAAATCGAAGATCACAGTCATCCTCCCTGCTGGACATGGGAAACATGTCTGCCTCTGATCTCGATGTTGCTGACAGAACCAAATTTGATAAGGTAAGATAACAAGCACTTCTTAACATTAGCATTGTTTTATAATGGCAGTTAGTGATTGCTTTAAATGTGTTTAAAGATTCAGGCTCTTGGATACCTTTTAAGATATTATGTTGTTCCAATTCTGAATTGTATCTGAAGAAAAAATTCCTAGTCAAATGGCAAATAAAAGATGAATAAACAATTAAATAGCACCAAAACTTTATCAATATTTATTACAAATCATGAAGTGCAAATAAAATTGCATCTAAGTTGTTTAAGCAATGACAACATCAAAAGGAAGAAAAATAAAGCTTAACTGTTAGCCACGGAGCACCAGCTAAGTTTCAAAAGATTGTTTTCCTCTTTCCAATTGTGAACTGAATAACTGAGCTTTCTTTTGGTCCTGTTAAACCTGTCAATCTTGGAAGACTTCGTCTTTGACATTTTTTGAGTATTATAGGTTGATAGGATTATTGATATTATAGATCCATGGTCCCTGCAGAAGAGTGAATTAAATGTGGAATGTCATTTAAGCATTTGGTGCAGTTCTTTAATTGTAGAATCATTTTGGTTTTCTTCAGATCTTTGAACAGGTACTAAGTGAACTGGAGCCCCTGTGTCTGGCAGAACAGGACTTCATAAGTAAATTTTTCAAACTGCAGCAACATCAGAGTATGTCTGGAACTATGGTATGGCTTACATTTATTTTGGCTAATATTTATGGTCTGTAACATAATTAACCCAATTAATGTTATAGTATGTAGTCACAGTTTCAAATCCAGATAAAAAAGGAAAGGATTTGCAATGAAAGAATCTTTAAATTTTCTTGTTATTTACAAAATAATAAAAACAGTGATAGTAATTAGAGCTTATATTCTAGAATGTCTAATATTCTAGAATGTCTTGAACAGCCTCTAAATTAATGAGATGGGAGATGTCTGAATTTATTTTGGAGAGAACATTATTCGAAAAGTGATTTTAAGCCGGGTATGATGACTCTTGCCTATAATTCCAGCACTTACGAAGCATCTGAGGTAGGAAGATTGCCTTGAGTTCTAGGCTAGCCTAAGCTACAGAATATGAGGGCTGCCTTAACAAAACAAAACAAAACTCACCAATTTTAATATTTTAGCATTCCTAAAGAAAAAATACAATTTGAAAGAAGTGAAGGCATACAGGGAAAAAGTGAGACCTCAGATAGGAATCTGAATCTGTCTTATAACTCTGTGGAACCAGTAACCTCATCCCCAGATTTCCTCTTCTGTAAAGTGAATGTAACGATATGTCCTCAGCATGTATTTTAGGTGGCATAAGTGGAAGAGCATGAAATGAGAGAATTGCTAGAAGAATCTAAAGAGCTTAATACCACACTTTGAATGTGATTTTATATATATATATATATATTGAGGTTATCTGAAAACGGTTATAAAGGCATCAGTCTCAGGCAGTGATAGAATGAATGGGAAATTCATTATTGTTGGAGTTTCTTGTTCCTGATGGTGGTAGTAGTGATAAATTTATCTGTAAGCATTTTTGACAGCATTTTTTTAAATACTGAAATATTCATGGAATGATTGGTGAGATAGCCCTAATTTTTTAAATTCCATTTCTAAAGTTGGTGGACATATACTTTTTTTTTTTCTCCAAGCTGCCTCTTAAGTTCACAGTGCCTTCCCAGCCTTACATACCCTTCTTTTCCCTCAACAACTATGCCCCGTGTTTTCATAGACAAATACAGTTTCTTACTCTATAATAACTTATAATAATTTTCAGGGGGGAAAAAAATCTAAAAATCGGGGCTGGCAAGATTGCTCAATGGGTAAAGGTGCTTCCTGTGCAAGCCTGACAGCCAGAGTTCAATCCTGGGAATCTACATAAAGGTGGAAGGAATGAACTCACTCCACCAAGTTACCTTCTGCCCGCATACACACTTGGTGGCATACACTCCCACTCCCACACAAACATCATACACAATGATAAAAAAATAATTTTTTTTAAATTCTAGGAACAAGAATTTCATGAACATTCATAAAGAGCATACAAAAAATTATATTGCTTTAATGGTAATACAAAAAGCCATTATTTTCTATAACATATGCTCTTGTAGGTATCTTAAGACTTAGCAGGCTTTTGATATAACTATGTTGACATAAACTAGTCACTTTGTTGGCCTTTCATTATATAAAGTTCTTGAATAAGCCAAGCGTGGTGGTGCACACCTGTAGTCCCAGCACTTGGGAGGCAGAGGCAGGTGGATCTCTGTGAGTTCAAGGCCAGCCTGGTCTACATAGTGAGTTTTCAGGACAGCTGGGGCTACAGGGAGACCCTGCTTAAAAAAAAAAAAAAAAAAAAATCTTTAAAAAATTTTTTGGAAACTGGGGCGGGGAAGGCTGTAGAGTGAGTTCTAGCTAGGCCAGCAAAGACTGTCTCTAAAAACAAAACAAATACAACTGGGTGTGGTGGGCACATCCTTTAATCCCAGCACTCGGGAGGCAGAGGCAGGCATCTCTGTGAGTTCAAGGCCAGCCTGGTCTACATAGTGAGTTTTCAGGACAGCTGGGGCTACAGGGAGACCCTGCTTAAAAAAAAAAAAAAAAAAGTTCTTGAATAATTTTTGCAGACTGAGGCAGAGGACCTGGATGGAGGAGCACTGTCACGGCAGCATAATTCTGGCACACTACTGCCTGTTTCATCTGAGTATGTATTTATTACTGTCTGTTGCTTGTTTTGGAAAAAAAATAAACTTTAAATTGAAGAGTCCACAATGTTCTCAGTAACCTGCTGGCACCCACCACAAATCTACTTCCTTTGTTTCTTCTATAAAATGCCCTGGCCAAAGCAAAAGGTTTATTTTGACTCAGTTCAGGGTGGGAAAGTCAAGGCAACAGGAGTTTGAAGGAGCTGATCACATAGCATCAGCAGTCTGGAATGAAGGCTTGTGCTCAGCTCACTTTCTCCTTTGTGTACGGTCAGGATCCAGCCCAGGGAGTTGTGTCACCCATAGTCGGTGGATCTTCCCACCCCAGTTAACCTAATCAAGGAAATCCCCCACAAACATGCCCAGAGGCTAGCCTATCATAGATGATCTCTCTATTTGTACCTGGAGGCTTGTCTCCTAGGTCCTTAAGATCCTGTTCACTCGACAGTTAAAACTACCCATTCCATGTGCCCACTGCCAGGAACAGTTTATTGGTCCTATTGTTGGGCTCTTCAACTCTTCTCTCAGTAATCATAAATGATTTCACCAATTCTGGTGTTTACTGGTAAAAGTTAGCCTTTAAACTGTTGTGTATTTCTTATACATTTCAGAACCCAGTTTTACTAATGAAACAAAGCTAAAACCTGCAATAGAATGTTTTTATATCAAAAACTGCTCTGGACTAGTTCATATTTGACTTTTTAATTGTAGTACCAATTTTTAGGTGTCTTTTTTTTATATAGTGAACTGAAGATGAAGGTGAATTCACCTTGTTTATAGTGACTGTATTATGTGTGTATATATACATATATATATATAATATTTTTGCTTTCTGAACAGGAAAGATATGATTCGCCAAATGATGATTAAAATATTTCGCTGCATTGAGCCAGAACTGAACAACCTAATTGCATTAGGAGACAAAATTGATAGCTTTAATTCCCTTTACATGCTAGTCAAAATGAGTCATCATGTGTGGACTGCACAAAATGTGGATCCTGCTTCTTTTCTAAGTACTACATTGGGAAACGTTTTGGTGACTGTGAAAAGGAACTTTGACAAATGCATTGTAAGTTGTAAAAAATAATTCAAGAGCAAATCATTAGACAAAAATGGTTAATTTATTAAATTCACGAAATCTCCGGCTTTCTGTTGAGGTCTAGTGAAGCAGGGAGTTGGCATCAGTTCATAGGAACAAAGGAAGATGGGGGTGCTGTGAGGTCGAGCAGGCTCTGCAGCAGGTGGGACAGGGCCACCTGCTGTTGGAGAGAGCTCCTGTGTTACTGACGCCTCCATTTACTGATCTGTGACCTGTGATTTAATCAAACAGTTAAAAGTTGCTTGGGTTTATTGTTTCATATATTCTAATAAAATTAACCTGATTATTTTAATTGATAGTTTAAATTAGTATTATTTAAATTATTTTAAGAAGTCTAATCTTACTGCTTTAAGAATAAATTGTTAGCCAGGCGTGGTGATGCACGCCTTTAGTCCCAGCACTCAGGAGGCAGAGGCAGGCGGAGCTCTGTGAGTTCAACGCCAACCTGGTCTACATAGTTAGTTCTAGGACAGCTGGAGCTATAGGGAGATCGTGTCTCAAAAAGACCAAAAAAAAAAAAGAATAAATTATTATAGGTCTGGAGAGATGGCTCAGCGGTTAAGATCACTGGTTATTCTTGCAGAAGACCTGGGTTCAAATCCCAGCACCCACTTGGCAACCACTGTCCGTAACTCCAGTTCCAGGGGGTCTGATGGCCTCTTCTGTCCTTGTGGTCATTGCATGACATGGGTGCACTTACCAACAGGCAGGCAATATACTCATACACATAAAAATAATAAAATATTTTTAAAAAATTTTTAAAGAATAAATTGTTATTAATAACTTCTAGCAATCATCATGTCCCTCTTTCTACTAAAAGAAATAATATTTATAGTTTTATTATTGTCTTGGGTTTTGGTAAACTTGTAGGACTGAACTGGGCTGAATCAGGTTTTTAAAAACTTTCTTTTTATTAATATAAAAGTGAGTATCATTTGAATATTTCTACTATGTGGTCTCTAAGTTATACCTAGTTCTTACATATCTGTAGGATAATGGCAAGTGAAGATATTAAGAGCAATTAAAATCCATGCCATTTCTTTTACTTTAAAAACTTTAACACTTATTGGAGAGGAGGGTTGTTCAGTGGTACATTACTTGCCTAGCTTCTGCAAGGTTCTAAATTCTGTCCCTAGCGTCACAAAAGCAATATCCCCATCTCCACAAATAGTGATAACCAGGAGCTTCTAAGTAGAAACAGACCCCTGAGAGGAAAAGGAAACCTAACAAAGACTAGGATAATGGATCTGTGGCACAGTTGAAATACCAAATCATAGAGGTACTATGTGTTTCCAGACATGAGCTCTTACTGCTCTTCTCAACACGTTGCCTGGTAGAGAATAACTGCTTGCTAACTGATAGCTTGTATAATCAACAGCATTTAGCACAGGTTTGGGCATTTTACACACACTGTCTCATCTGATCCTCATACCACCACCACCACCTCCATGAGGTAGGTGTTTCAAGGTGTGAAGTTACTTTCCTGTGTCAGCAATTAAAAAGTGACAAAACTGGCATTCAGATCCACATGGTCTTCCACTGCCTTCTACATCTATGTTGACACCTCATACTTGTCAGTACTGATGAGGTGGAGTATTCATAAGGACAAGTTGAAATCATTGATAATGCTCACAGGGTTTTTTATATGAATACCTGCAGCCTAGAAATTATTCTTCTAATCCACATATCATGAAGTTTTCAACTTATACTGTCTGCAAATCTCAGGACAAAGAAGTTTTATGTAGAAATTGGGACTGTAATTGACAAATCCATAGATCTTTTTATACCCAAATGGCTGTATTCTGTTTACATGAAGCATGTTTTTATAGAACTTTGTCACTGTGTCCAAGCACTGTGCTGAACCTACTTAGAATAAGTTACTATTAAATATATAGGAGACTACATAATGCAAGCCCATAGTTGAAATTTGTAACCTCCCCCTCTATTCTTGTACCCCGCTCCCCAAATAGAGAGTTTATTTGTCCAAATAGAAGTTTTAGGTGAGTACAAATTAGAAATGGTTATGGTTCTCAAACTTGGCCACATGACCACCATCCAGAACTGAATGAGGGATCGCCTTCATACCTTTCTGCTCTACTCAAGCCCTGGGTGGGTAACTTTCTTGTCCTTGTCTTTCAGAAATGATAGAAATGTGTTGTTTCTAGTTTGAACAGACTTGAAGTTCAAAATCCTTGTGTATATCTTGTTTTAAATAATAATTTTCCTTTTATTTCCTTAAATATGTCCTTAAAATGTTTCAGACTTTTTTTTTTCTTTTTGGTGTTAGGGTCTCCCTGTAGCCCCAGCTGGCCTGGAACTCACTATGTAGACCAGGCTGGCCTTGAACTCAAAAGACCCACCTGCCTCTGCCTCCCAGGTGCTATAATTAAAGGCATGTGCCACCATGCTTGGCCTAAAATGTTTTTTAATCTGTATGGTAGGTTCTCATCGATCCTTGTTGGAATTAATTTCCAGCAGTTGAAGTTGTAAGTTAGCATCTGTAATGCTTGGTGTTAATATGTGCATTTGATTGTATGTAGTTTCTAAGTTGCTTGGCTTTCTCTCCCTATCTGTCTAACTTTAGAGTAATCAAATAAGGCAAATGGAAGAAGTAAAGATCTCAAAGAAAAGTAAAGTAGGAATTCTTCCATTTGTTGTTGAATTTGAAGAATTTGCTGGACTTGCAGAGTCAATCTTTAAAAATGCTGAACGTCGTGGAGATCTGGATAAAGCATACACCAAACTTATCAGAGGAGTGTTTATTAACGGTACAGTTTTGTTCTGTTCTAGAAAATGTTTTGGTTATTTTCATTATTTCTGGTAACTCTGAAGCTGGAGGAGATACATGTTCACTGCTTCCAATATTCTATGATCTTTTTAGGCTTTCTGAAATTAAAGATCTCATAAATTTGAAAACTAGGCAGCATATAAACCAATTCATATTCATCAGTAACCACATATATTTCATGGTTCCTAGGGGATTATTACTATGATAAATTGAAAAATCATTTTTTAAACTAGAAAATGACCTCCTGGATTACACTTTCCTTTGTCTAATCTGTGTTTTCCAGATAGGTATGGGTCTATCCCTTGGAGTCTGGTCAACCTACCAGGCAACACACCAGTAGGGAAAACTGACTCTCCCAGCAGCTATCAATTGCCAGTAGATCCTCAGCTAGGACTGGGACTTCTTGCCCACCTCCCCCTTTCATGCCTGATTTTTTTCTGGCTTTGGTTTGCATGGGTCTTGTGCATGCTGTCACAAGCACTGTGGATTCATATGTGCAACTACCCTGTGGTGTACAGACAATGTGGTTTCCTGGTATTCATCTACCACATCTGGCTCTTACATTCTTTCCACCCCCTCTTCCATAATATCCCCTGAACCTTGGGAGGAAAGGGTATGTTATAGGTATCCCATTTAGGGCTGAGTAATCTTCATTCTCGTAGTCTCTGCATGTTGATCAGTTGTGAGTCTCTGTACTAATTGCCATCTGTTGCAATAAGAACCTTCTATGGTGAGAGTTGAGAGATGCGAGTAATCTATCAGTATAACAATAAGTCATTAGGAGTCAGTTTAATGCTATGTTTATTTGGCTGAGTAATTATAGTAGGTTCTCCCCTATGGCCTATGATCTGTCTAGCCACAAGTTCTTGGCCCTGATAACAGTGTCAGGTAGACTCCGTCTTATGAAACACCTTAAATTCAATCAGATGGTGGTTGGTTACTCCCAATACATATGTGCCACTTTGCACCAGCGGGCATATTTTGCCAAGCCCATTGTTACTGTAGCTCACAATGTTCACAGCTGGGTAAGGTTGATGATTACCTTTCTCTGCCTGTAGCATACATAGCACTTTCTAGTACTGTGAAAGTAAAGAGTACTGGCGGGTACTAACCAGTAAAGACGAAGCTTTGAGGGCAGTATGACCTTGGCTTCTTTATTCTACAACTCAGATATATAATGTCTTCAGCAATAGGGTATTACTGTCAAGTTCTGGTGGCTAAGTAAGTGCAATGACAATAGCCAGCATTGTTTGAAAAAAATTTATTGTACTTCACACAGTAGTTTGGAAACTGTTAACTCTATAATTATGTTGTCCTGTTGTCTTTCCTTGTCAGTTAATGTAGATTTCTGTCTTGATTTCTTTTCCCGTTGCTATGATAAAATAGTAAAAACAACTTGAGAGAGAAAGGTTTTAGTGTTGCTCACACTTCAAGGTACGGTTCGTCATGGCAGGGAGGTCAAGGCAGCAGGAACTTGAAGCAGGTGACTATACCACATCCACAGTGAGAAGAGAGCAGCAGGTGTTTGCATGCTGGTACTCAGCTCACTTTCACCCCTCTTACACAGTCCCAGATCCTCTGCCTAGGGATTGATGCCACCCACAGTGGGCAGACCTTCCCACTCAACTAATGTAATCACAGTAATCACCCACAGGCATGCTCAGTGGCCCATCACCCACATGATTCTAGATTCTGAAGGGCTGAGAATTAATACTAACCATCACAATAACCATAATCATTTTAATGACTATACTATTTTCCATTTATCATTATTTACTTACCAAATATTCTGTTAGTCTGTATTAAAGAAAATATATTTTCAAACTAGAAATGCAATTGTTTTACAAGGATTTATGTATTTTCAAGCTTTTGCCAAATTATGGTGCAGAAACCTTTTACCAACTTGACACCCTGAGCATTTAGTGAAAGTTTCTGCTCCATGTGCTCTTCAGTGCTGGGTGTTACTATAGGCCATCAGTCTTCTTATCCCTTGCTACCCTGGTGGGCTTAGAATTATCTCACTTTTTAATTGCACTCCATGATTTTGTTTATGGTATCTAACCCTGTAAAATTTTCAAATTTTATGTCAGTTTTTTTTTTCCTCTTCACTTTTTTTGGTCATTCTTTAGAAAATCATGCTATCACAAAATTATGGTTTTTAAGTAGCTATATTTTCTTTGATGCTTATGAATTTTTTTGTATTTTAAATACTTGAGCATTTAAAAATTTAGCCAGAAGATGTGAAGCAGTAATCTAATTTTAATGTATTCAAAGCCTGGAACTAGAGATATGACTCAGTGGTTAAGAGCACTGACTGCTCTTGGAGAGGACCTAGGTTCGATTTCCAGCACCCACATGGCAGCCAACAACCATCTGTAACTCCAGTTCCAGGGGGATTTGACACTCTCTTCTGACCATGGCATTGCATGACACGGGTATACTTACATACGTATACTTACATACATGTAAGCAATACATTCACACATAAAAAATGTTTAAAGTAATAAAATAATGTTTATAATGTATTGAAAGGAATCACTGGTCATCCTATCATGTTTTGAATAATTCATTATTTCTCTACTGATTTGAAAAGCCACCTTTATTATATTCTGAATTTCCGTTTATATTTCGTTTTAGGATGACTTACTGTGTTCAGGTGGTCAGATGACCTTGCAATACAGAATGTTGTACTTAGTCCACAATGATTATACCAGAGTTGTTTTTTGTTTTTTTTTTTTCCTGCTTTGATTTTAGTGGAGAAAGTAGCAAATGAAAGCCAGAAGACTCCCAGGGATGTTGTTATGATGGAAAACTTTCACCATATTTTTGCAACCCTTTCTCGTTTGAAAATATCATGTCTAGAAGCTGAGAAAAAAGAAGCTAAACAAAAATATACAGATCACCTTCAATCTTACGTCATTTACTCCTTAGGACAACCTCTTGAAAAACTAAACGTAAATATATTTTCATTCAGCATGTTTTCCTGGTTTTGAACCTGTATACATCAGTTAGCATAAGAATAATGAACAGACATTTAAATTTTCTGTATTCTGACACAGGGATGAGGAAGGAACAACTCAGTTATTGAAGCTGCCAATGCATCAGGCACTCAAAAGACTTTCTATATGCATTATTTCTTTTAATTCTTACAAACAATGATATACCCAGATGTGGTCGACATTCTTCTAATCCTCCATACTTCGAAGGCTGAAGCAGGAGGATCACAAGTTTAGCACAGCATGAGCAGAACCCAGTCTCAAAAATAGATAAATAATGGCTGCCCATAGTGGCGCACACCTTTAATCCCAGTGCTCAGGAGGCAGAGCAGGTGGATCTATGTGAGTTCAAAGCCAGCCTGGTCTACATAGTGAGTTCCAGGCCAATTGAGGCTACAGGGAGACTGTCTCAAGAAGACCAGAAAAAATAAATAATATATGATTTAAATCATGATATAACCTAAGCTATCCCATTTTAGGACACTGAAAGTAAAATTGAGGGCAAACCCGGATTGAACTTTAGCATTCTAGGGTCTTCCCATTTCTTACCTCATAGATAGCCAACTTTTATGCCTAATTCAGGTAAAGATTTCAAAAACTTTATCAAGATAAAAGGAACAGGGCTAAGGAAACAGCTCTCTGGGTGAAGTGCTTGATATACAAGCATGAAGGCCTGAGTGGGTTCCCAGACCACATAAAAGCCAAATATGGAGACATATGCCTGTACCTCAGCATTGAGGACCGAGACAGGCAGATACCAGGTGCTCGCTGGCCAGCAAGTCCAGCCCAAATAGTGAGCTCCAAGCTCAGTGAGAGACAGTGCTCCAAAAAGTAAAGTGGAGGAGCAATTGAGGAAGGCATCCAATGTTGAGCTGTGTCCTCGGCACACTCACCCACACATACACCACACACATAAGAAGAAACAAATTTTGTACATTGCCTATTCCTTTCTTTCCTGACTTGTCATTTCTAAAAGCAAATAATAACAATAAAGTTAATAAATGATGGTTTTGCCAGATATTATGGTTTGTGCCTATAATCCCAGCATATAGGAGGCTGAATCAGGAGGAACACGGGTCTGAGTCCAACCTGGGCAACATAATACCTGTCTCAGAAAAAGAAAGAGAAAGCAAATGAGAGAAAGACATGTAGCATGTGTGAGGTCCTGGGTCTAATATCTAGCACCCCCCCAAACCCATACTATTAAATGGAAAATACAGCATACAAAAGTTAAATTTTTATTTAGTCACATTAAAAGAGTAGAAGGAAGTTCGAGACATTAGCAATAGTTGTCACACAGTGGTAGGATAATAGGTGATTGTTATTTCCTTTCTCACATGGTCTGGTTTCTGTGCAGTGATTATATGCTTACATACTTTGTGATCTAGTCTTTTAGTTTAAGTGACAATAAAAGTAGTTCTCAGCCATTATTCACCTTCATTCTCTTGAAGCATTTCTTTGAAGGCGTTGAAGCCCGAGTAGCACAGGGCATAAGGGAGGAGGAAGTGAGCTACCAGCTTGCATTCAACAAGCAAGAGCTTCGCAAAGTTATCAGAGAATATCCTGGGAAGGAAGTGAAGAAAGGTCTGGATAACCTCTACAAAAAGGTTGATAAGCATTTGTGTGAAGAGGAGAACTTACTTCAGGTATGCTCATTCTTTTGGCCAAGAAGACAGTCTGTTTTTCTGCAGAGTACTCCTCCAAACAGGTCAGATTCTCTAGCTTTAGTATAAGAGAAGAGTTCGATAGCCAAGAGTGGTGGTTCATGCCTGTAATCCCAGCCCCTGGAAGCTGAGTCAAGAGGATCAAGTGGTCAAGGTCACCCTTGGCTACATATTGAGTTACGACGGCCAACCTGGGATACATGAGACCCTGTCTCAAAAAACAAAAAGTAAAAATGAATGAAAAATTTCATAAAGTTCAGACCAGGTTAATGAATTATGAGGAAGGAAGGAGCCATAATTATAATCATCCCTGCTTTTATTTTTCTATTTTATTATGGTGAGACATTAAATTGTTTCTACTCTGGTTGGGTTTTTTATTTGTTTCATTTTTGCTTTTTAGATTTTAGGCGAAGAGGTAAATGCAGCATTCTTTAATACAGTGCAGTGGTTCTGAGAGTGGTAATTGGAGTTAGAATTTGTAATCTGGGTCCAAATTAAGCTGCACGATTTGGGGCAAGTTACTTTACCTCTCCAAGTTTCAAATTTCCTTATTTGAAAAATGACATCTTTCCCATATAAGACCTAGTTATTCTTATTTATAACTAAGAGAGATTGGAGTGTAGAGAGGTAGACTAATACAACAAAGCTCTTCTAGCTAATGGGTGGCGGAGCCAGACTGAGACTCTGAATGAAGCCATAGTCTTTATAAACCATGCTGAAAAGCTCAGATGAATGAGAAGAATTCTGGTTTCAACATCATAGAAGGCCTCATGGGGATATTGTGTCGTATTCACTTCTGAAAGTCAGTGTGTTAATAAGTGGGGGGGGGGTGGCATTCAGGTGGAGAAGTGGCATAAGCCAAATGATGAAGCAAGGTGTGATACTGTTTGAGAAACAGTGATTGATCTTAAATGACAGGATTTATGAAGTTCACAAAGAAAAGCCCTAGAAGAGTACGTTCCCTCAATGGTCATGGTCAAGCAGGAATATGATCATAGCCCCCACTTCACCAGGTCCTCAGGAGACTTAAATCAGTTTAGAAATCCCATAAGCGCGTTCTGTGCTAGTATATAGAGTAAGTGTCTATAGATGGACACTCTTGCATCATTGTGTGAATTGAATTCTGTCTTGAAGTTAACTACATATCAGTCTCCATTTCTAGGTTGTTAATCACATAGTAGTGCGTCTGGCTTATTTTGGTACCCTCCACAGTATCAAACAATGTTCTGCATCATCAGTTTTAGATAAAGAAATATTTTAACTTTTTATCTGAAATGGAATTTAAACATTATATGTTATATTACATTTCATTGAATCACTGGCCTTAGCTCCATCCATAATTGTGTATAGCATTATCTGCTGTGAATATTGGAGTATATGTAATAATAACTGAATCATAATGAATGTTTGCTCATGCGAGACACTATACTAAGCACTGCCTGTATTCCCTTGTTTAATCCTCACAAGAAAATTGGGAAGATAAAGTGCTATTATCCGTACTTTTGTTTACAGATGAGGATCATGAGACCAGAGCAAGCACTGATGCCATATACTTAGGTCACGAATCTGTTAAGTGGAAACTGAGGATGCTGGTTCCAGAACACATGTCTTTAATTATTAGATTATATCATATTCTTAGACTCTATCTTGGCATTATTTCTCCATACTCGATTATAAATTTATCTCCATTCATTCACAGTTCACTGACTTGTTTTTCTCTCCTTTTTAATAGGTGGTGTGGCACTCCATGCAAGATGAATTTATACGCCAGTACAAGCACTTTGAAGGTTTGATAGCTCGCTGCTATCCTGGATCTGGAGTTACAATGGAATTCACTATTCAGGACATTCTGGATTATTGCTCCAGCATTGCACAGTCCCACTAAGCAGTATGGAAGGAGAAAAGAGAAATGAGCAAGTGCTATCAGTGCACCAGACACTACATAAAAAGTTAAGCAAGTGCTTTGAGAGGCCAGACTCAAAAGCTTATGTGTTGCTAAATGTCAGATAAATGCATAATACTATGCTGCAAATATTTAAGTGTGAAAGTACCAACCTGTGGAGCATTTATTTGATCCATAACGTTGTGTACCATCTTAAAGCATTTATCTCATCATGAAATGCTTTTTGCATTTCCCAGTGACTGGACAGAAAATTTTCCTGTATTACCCAGCTCTTGTGTTTGACAGTGGCTGTCCTGTGTGTAAAATGCACTGGGAGTTCTTCAACATTTAGCACTTCTCTGTTACTTACAAATCATAGGACTACTAAAATCTTGCACAGAATTTTTTCTTTGTCTCATTGTCTAACAAACATGTATGTGGATAAGCGAACTGATGTAAATAATCAGTTATAAACCTGGCTTTTAAGGATGATGTAGCTATGTGTTTTGAATCAAATAAAGAAATTTTTAGCTTGTGGTGGCATACACCCTTAGCTCCGGCATTTGGGAGGCAGAGGCAGGTGGGTCTCTTGAGTTCAAGGCCAGCTGGTGCTACAGGGAGCTCCTGTTTCAAAAAGACCAAAAAAGTAAGAAGAAGAAGAAATTTTCAAAAAGTGGATATTTAATAATAATCTTGTTTTTATATATCTTCTATATAAGAGCAAATTCTTATAGAATCAATATACAGAAAGTATGAGTCCATATACCACAAAAAGACTTTAAACACTAAGAAAAATAATGGGACAAAAGAAAGGTCATTTATAATGGCCTCAAAGTTATTTAATATATAGGACTAATGGAAGATGTACCATGGGCTGAACAACCCAAATGTCTATGAGCAGTAGAACGACAGATGAAACTTCATTCAGTGGTACAACATGGAAGTGAAAATACAATAAATGCCAGGAAAACACTGCCAGGTAGAAAAAAGTCTGTAACAGAAGAGCATTGTATTAGTTACTTTTCTATTGCTGTGATAAAAACCATGACCAAAGTGACTTCCAGAAGAGCTTTATTTTGGCTTACGGTTCCAGACTGAGAGTCATAATGGTGGGTGTGATGGCTAATCCTGGTGTCAACTTGACTGGATCTGGGATTAACTGAAATGAAAGAGATCTT